AGTCTCCAGACACCGTGTTGCAGTTTTCAACATAAATTTTGCATTGCATTTGATACAGCGCCTTATCACATTTCCACAGTCACCACACATCAAAGCTCCCTTTATATCTTCAACTCTAATTCTGATATTTCTTAGGCTTGTCAACAATTTTGAAATGGTACAGTGCACATGATCTGAAATGAACCATAACCTTTTGCTGAGGAGATAACATTGTAATTGTGACGTGCTGTCACAGAGCATGAATGTATTTTACAAAGGTTACATCAACCTGAAATAACTTACTTCCTGACGCAACTAAACATAACATACTGAGAGTTTGAGGTTTAGGAATAAATAAAAGTAATATTTGCATTTGATATAGCGACTTAAATAAATTGATGGTTAATACATTTAATATATTGAAAAGGAAAAATTTGTAAAGCTATAATGATAATATAATATATAATGATAGTAATAATCCTTGCATTTGATGTAACGCCTTATCACGTCTTTGAAGTGCACAGGGATGCTGCCCTGTGTGATGGGCGCTAGGTAAATGCAAGTTGTTGTTGTTGATCAAGCGCTTCACAGAATATACTGCAAAGTGAATTGACTATATACGTTGTGGGCAAAACGCGGCAGCCAATTGCTCACAGCTGTGTCCCACAACCAGCCGTAGATTGAGTGACCAAATTATTTAATTTTTTTTAAGGGATTATTACCCATGGAAAAGATTTTAATTTTATTCCATTCACAAATTCATTGAATCATATGCCAGAGATGACATTCTGGATGCAAACAATTTTTGATATCATTGACCTAGATTAGAAAGGGATTATGGACATGATAAATAATAATAATAATAATAATCCTTTGATATAGCAGCTTATTACATCTTCAAGATGTCTCAAAGTGATTCACAGAATGTATATACATGAAAGAACCAGTGATCATTGGTATTAGGAGTCTTGCAGCTCAGTGGTTAGAGCACTCGCCTCGCAAGTGAGAGACGTGGGTTTGATTCCTGGAAGGGCAATATGTTGGGCAAGTTTCCTTACTCCACTCACTTCTATTTACCTAGCAGTAAGTAGGAACCCGGTTGTTAGTCGATTAGCGGATCGCTTTTCCGGGGGAATAATTCCTTCAAAAAAATAATATTAGTAATTGGTCACTCAATCCATGATTTTTTGTGGGACGCTGCGGTGTGCAATTGGCTGCCACGTTTCGTCCACAAAATAACCAGTCAATTCGCTTTACAGTATATTCCGTGAAACCCTTTGAGACGTCTCAAAGACTTGATAAGACCTATATCAAATGCAAGGATTATTATTATTATGATGATCAGGAGTTGTATCAATTACAAAGATTATTATTATAATTGTGATGGTTGCTGTCATTTGCTGTTTGGGTATATATAAAAGGGCTCATGATTTGAATGCTACTGCCACGACAATGATGCTGATGTTATGATGCCTGTTTACTTTTCTGGTGCTATCTATTCATGGTATGCCTACATAAAATAATTATAGGCATGTTGCAGCATCCATACTTGTAACTGTTGGACTGATACTTATATTTATAACCATTTTATTGTAATACAATAGTGCAGTAGATTAATAATAATTCTTCCATTTGATATAGCACCTTATCACGTCTTTGAGACATATCAAAGCATTACAGAATATACTGTAAAGTGTAATGACTGTATTTTGTGGGTGAAATGCGGCAGCCAATTGCGCACAACAGTGTCCCACAAACAGTTGCGGAATGAGTAACTGATTGAGTTATACAATTATTTTTTTTTTTGCAGGGATTTATTACCCCCGGGGAGCGACCTGGGAGATGTATCATTGTCTACAATAATTATAAGAGTATGTAGAAATCTATGTTGTGAGGGGGAGGGATGGCGACATATGTTACTGAATGAACAAAATTAATCAGTTATGCCTACAAATATATAGTCACTATCCTTTACAATTTAGAATTAAATTTACACATTCAATTTAAATCTTACATTTACAGCAATTTCCTGGACACGAGTTTAAAATGTTTCAAAGTGATGAGTGCTGTATCAAATATTATTATAGTTTTTCACTTCTTAATATAAACTTTTAAAAATTGCTATGGTTAATCTTTGTAAAATAACATGAGCCATTATTAATTATATACTGCCTTGAGCATTGAACCGTACATTATCTGCCTATGTATGTAGATGAAGCATAGAACAATAGAAATTTATGACATAGAAGAAGGCTGTTTGGCTCATAGTGTTTGTGTAAGCTCTTTTAAGAGCAATCTTTTCAGTTCTATTTTTTTCCCTTTCTCCATACCCTTGTAGTTTACTTGCATGTATCATAGAATCATAGAATTTTAATGCCAAAGCAACCATTCCCTGCCCATATCTCAAACCTTTCTATATTTTACTTTCTCAAATGTTTCTCAAACATGCTTTATACAGTACCAAACTGGGCTCATATTTTCCTCACATAAACTATATCATTAACCAAGTAAACAAATGAACAGCAAAACTTAATTTTACAATTTCCTGTCTAACTGAAAAATACTTCAATATAATTTATAAGAGTTATGTATTAAATTTGGCTTAACTAAGATTTAAAGTAAAAGGTAGTATTTAGATGCTTATCTTTCGCTTTCCCAGCTTCAGGATATAGATTCAGCTATCCCTGCAAATCTTTTTCGATAAGTGAAATGGAATTGCACCTAGAATATTGTGTGCAGTTTTGGTCTCCTTATTTAAGAATGGACATACTCGCCTTAGAAGGGGTATGGGGTAGATTCACTAGATTGGTTCCTGGGATGAGGGGGTTGACCTATGAGGATTGGTTGAGTAAACAAGGCCTATATTCTGTAGAATATAGAAGAATTAGAGGTGCTCTTATAGAAACCTGTAAGATTCTTAAGGGTCTTGACAGGGTAGATGCTGTGAGACTGCTTTCCCTGGTTGGAGAGTCTAAAACTAGGGGTCATAGTCTCAAAATTAAGGGTCAGCCTTTTCGAACTGAGTTGAGGAACCATTTTTTCACTCAGAGGTTGGTGAATTTGTGGAATTCTCTACCCCAGAAGGGTGTGGATGCTCAATCCTTGAACATATTCAAGACTGAGGTTGATAGATTTCTAAAGGTTAGAGGGATTAAGGGATATGGAGATAGGGCGGATAAATGGAATTAGGTTAGAAGATCAGTCATGATCTTATTAAATGGCAGGGCAGGCTCGAGGGGCCGAATGGCCTACTCCTGCTCCTACGTCTTATGGTCTTATGGAAATATGTGCCTCACTAAAAGTATACTGGGATAATCTAATTGTTTGAGATCTCATCCAAAATTCCTTTCAATAGATTGCTCAGGCTGAGTCTAAACAAACTAATGTTGTTTTTAAAAATGTATTTATAAACCAATATTTGATTCTTCTTCTGAAGACACTGAGTCTACAGGCGAGGGCTAAGTAATTATCTTTCATGTGACAATGCTAATCACATTTAGGATATAACAGATGAGTCCTATCTTAACTTTACCAAACATACATGCAAGCATACCTAGTTGTACACTTTCTCAGCCTTGAAGGGAGTTTGCTGGACAGTGGTCAGGAACAAAAAGACTTGGTGGATTTTCCCCTCTGAACTAGGACTACTGCCCCTGCTGAAATTGTAATTGCACAAAGAAAATTCTCCATCTAACAAAGTACCCATATATAATGACTACGATTGTAGCCAACATAAAAACTACATAACCTAGGAATTAAACCAATGGCATTAATACAGTGCTGATATTCCACCACTAGTATTTTGTAAACACCATCTAAACACAGAGAAATATTAATTCACTAGGAGCTCAAAGTTGCCCCTGGTCTTAAACCTGTCTCAAAATTTAAATTGTGAATTGTGGACAATTCAGTTCAGTTGTAATTTGGACAAACTCTTTAACAACAATACTTTATAGCATCTTTTGTGTAACAAAATGTTTTCAAGCACTTTACAGAATGGGAGCCTGAGCTAAATGGGATAAAAGAGAGGGGGTTGAAGGTACAGTTAGAGATAGCTTTTTTTAAAAGAACTGCAGAAATAATCTTTCAAATGAACACTACAATGTAAGAATTTTTTACAATTCACACACAATTGTAATTTTAAGACAGAGTTATCTTACACAGACTTAGTGGAATTTCTGATTCAGTGTTCATCTTGAATCCTTGATGAAAACATTCAAATTGTCAAAATATGTATGAAGTGTCAAGGTGCTATGTAAAAATAAGATAAAAGCACAGGAAAATACTGTACTTCACTTCTTGAAGGTCAAACATAACATCAATAGATACAAAGATGATTTGATATGTTCAAAATGCCACCACTTTTTTGCCCTGCCATTTCAGAAACCAAACCTGCTGCTATGTAACATCTGTTGTACAATCCCAAGTTAATGCTCCTGAACATCTATATGGGTACACTTCATGTTAAGAACTATTATTGAGCGTTTATTATTGCATTCTTATTGTACACCACAGCTTCATTGCAGGTATCAGAAATGTCTGAGGTTTTTGCCAATTGTTTAGCTCTCATTTGGTTGTCAGGCTCACAAATTAGCATTATACCCACAGTGTTGAGGAAATATTTTATCTCACCTGTAACAATCTCACATGTTTGCAATTAACCCACAATGTTCTCTATTTATCCACAGTTTTTTTATTCTTTACAATTTTTTGTTTTTCTTTTATACCACTTTTACTTCTTTCTTTTTTAGCATATTCTTGCACATTCACAGAACATTGCTCCCAAATTCTCACTGATATGTCACAAAATGTGCTGTATTAACACAGCAATATTAAAAACAAGGGACATCCTTCCGACTTGAAAGGCTCTATATAAATGTAAGATTGTATTGTACTGTAGCATAATAGTAAGCAAGCCTGCTTTCAAGCAGTCAAACACATATGCGTTCAGATAGGTGGGTTTCAAAAGTAAGACAATTCAGAGAATTACATTTTTAACAATTGCTGAGAATAACTAAAGAATGCATAAAGCTAAGAAAATAAGGTAAACCCTGACCCATTTGTAATTTCACTCCACTTGCCTCTTGAAAGAGAAGAAATGCTTTCTAGATTTAATGTTGCACTGTCAACACTTGCTCCAACTGTGACAAAGTAGCAGATGAAAGAGTACAGTATATAAAAGTAAATAGGAAGAGATAAATCATCAAAGTTGTTTTGCCTGGAGCTAAGAGCATGCGTAAGTAGATAACCAGTTAACTCATGTCAATGCCAATACATGACAGCGAACGCCTTGTACTGTGATTTTAAGTGAATTCCCAGTGGATCTGCATTGCTGTATAAAAGGGGAAGGAAGGCTGCTGTCTCACTTCAAACCTTGCAGCTCAGGTTATTTAGTGAGAGGTGCAGCCCAGTATGTGACATCTGTCCCTACAGCTCAATCACGTCTGAAAGGAATTGAATTAGCCTGTTCCCTCTATTTATTTTGACTGACAATACAAACAAAGGGTGTTTTGCTGCTTTCAGACCACTTGTGAAGAGAATGGGTTCAGAAATACAAGATGATTTTTTGTCCAAACTCAGTCCTGCTGTGGACACTGCAACAGGTGCATTTATTTTACTTATAGGTAAGCAAAAGCTTTTTGTTTTGTTTTTAACAGAATCGCCCACCAGTGATGACTGAATATCTTTTTATTATTATTTATTATTAATAGTAATAAATATTAAATAAGCAATGTTTTAGGAAAAATGTTTTTCAAAGTTAAATGGTATTTAAGATGATGTAAGATGGGGATGTATAAAGATTTATTGTGTATTATTCAAAATCAAAGGCTACAGTAAATTAATGCATCCAGATATGAAAGGCACTATATAAATAGCATTTCTTGTTGTTGATGTAGATAAGTTACTGGTGTAATTCACAAATGCCCTTGTGACTTTAATGTACAATAATTGCTCATTTTGTCTCATGCTGTACTGGCTGAGATGAATGTGTCTGGCTAGTTCATAGGATTCATTTTGCTGACAGTGGAGATTTTAGCAATAGTTAATAGCCTTAGGAGTGTCGATGTGGTGCTGAGGTTAAGCAAGGAGTGGAGCTGATTCCAATGTACATTAACAACAGTGGTGGAAATCGCAACCAATGGTGGTGATCATCACAGTGTAGGTGAATGCAGTCAGCCAGTTGCTGACTAAAGACTGACTGGGAGTGATCCTTCCCAAGACTTAATAATACTAATAACCTGATATAGCACCTTATCATATCTTCAAGCATCTCAAAGTCCTTCACAGAATATACTGTAAAGTGAATCGACTGTATATTTTGTGGGCAAAATGCGGCAGCCAATTGCGCACAGCAGTGTTCCACAAACAGTCGTGGATTGTGTGACCAATTCTTTTTGAAGGAATTGTTGCCCCTGGAAAATGATCCGCCAAATCGACTAACAACCGGGTTCCTACTTACTGCTAAGTAAACAGAGATGTGTAGAATAAGGAAACTGGACCAACGTTTCGTCCTACCGGGAATCGAGCCCAGGTCTCTCGCTTGCGAGGCGAGTGCTCTAACCACTGAGCCACGGACTCCACAGGGCTTAAGTTCAATGTCCACTGCTTCAAACCAAAAGTCGACAATGCACTTGCCCATGTATCGCAGTATTTAGTTCTGATTCCTGAGACACTGGTTTAATTTCATAAAATTTTGAGATAAGCTACTATTCCAGGACCCGACATTCAAATACTGGGCTCTACCTTATGTCTGACTTTTGTGCAAAGTTGGATAAGTGGGCAGGAGAAAGAGAAAGAGCAAGAGTGTTATTCACACAAACCCTCATTTTTGAAAAGCAAGATAATTATTGGAAAATAATTGGCAAACTTTCCTGTGAAGTATTCAGACTGTAACCAATTATTGTATCTCAAAACTTGCCTAACAGTGAGCAGTATAATTTTGACAGGTGATGTGCAGTATCAAGATATTTGTGTTGCATGGTTTATCTTAAGCACGGCTGTTTTTGTGGTGGGATGCTGAAATGACAGGGTATAACATCGCTTTTTTCCATCTCAACTGTTGGCATTAGTATACTGATACATATCTGGCAGAACTCAGAAGGTGAGTGCTCCTGGGTATCATGAATTGCTGCGAGTCTTGTCCTTGAGTTGCCAGAGACTATTTGTCAGTGTAATACCAGGCACATTTCTGGAAAAAAAATGCAAAAGAATGCAGGGAGATATAAACAGGCTAGCAGAATGGGCAGACAGATAGTAAATGAAGTTTAATTTAGGGAAGTGCAAACCAATTGCAGAAAAAGTAATGGCAGGAAAAACAAAGCAACTGTATTTTGTCTGGATGGGAGGAACGTAAGAGGAGTAGAGGAGCAAAGAGATCTGGGATTCAGATCCACAAATGTCTAAAAGTAGCCACGCAGGTAGATATGGCTATACAACAGGCCAATGGTGCCTTAATAATAATAATAATAATAACAGCAATAATAATCCTTGCATTTGATATAGCACCTTATGACATCTTTGAGACATATAGAATATACTGTAAAGTGAATTGACTGTATATTTTGTGGGCAAAATGTGGCAGCCAATTGCACACAACAGTGTCCCACAAACAATCGTGGGTTGAGTGACCAATTAGTTTTATTTATTGGGCTTTATATCCAGAGGGATAGTGTATAAAAGTGAGGGGATTATGTAGAATTTATATAAAACTTTGGTTAGATCACATGAGGAGTACAACACTATAAGAAGGATATAGCAAGAAGAAGGATTAACCACTCTGAGTCGCTACCCTGCGTGGATGGTGCTACATAAGTGCAAGTTGTTGTTGTTATAGCAGTGATGGAAAGAGTAGGTTTACAAGGATGATACCAGGCTTGGCAGGTACCTGCTATCAGGATAGACTGGATAGGTTATGTCTTCTTTTGCTAGAGAAGAGATTCAAGAGGAGATCTAATAGAAATGTTTAAAATTAGAAAAGTTTTCAATAAGGTTAGCATAAGTATGCTGTTTCCACTTTTAGGGGAATCTATAACCAGGGGACACAAGTGTAAGATAACAACTAGCGGATCTACAAGAGAATTTCGGAGGAACTACATCACTCAGTAACTGCATCATCTTTGAGACGTCCTCCCAATGTGAAAGATCCCATGTCAAATGTAAGGATTATTATTATTTTCTTTCTCTTTCTTCACAGCTATCCTGTCCATATTTGGAAATTCGGTGGTTCTTCTTGTAGCAGCAAAGAAATCGTCACAGTTGAAGCCTCCAGAGCTGTTAACAGTGAATTTAGCGATAACTGACTTTTGCTCAGCAGTTACCATGTATCCACTGGCAGTGGGCTCAGCTTGGAAACATACCTGGCTCGGAGGAGATTCATCTTGTAAATACTATGGTTTCATGGACTTCTTCTTTGGAATTGCAAGTATTGGAACGCTAACTGTGATGGCCATTGTAAGGTTTTTGGTAACATCAACTACACAAAATTATGGTAAGATATTTAGAAAACATTTTCAGGGTAATTTCATTTTATGGAGTGAAAAATTAATTTTTTCCACGTGCTAATTATTATTGGTTAGAATTATCATACACTACATATTCAATTCTATGTTACAAAAATGCTGAGACTACTCAATAGCTATGATAATTTGATTAGAGAAACTGATTCAAATGTTTTTCAGAATTGCAAAATAATTTATTGTTTATTTATTGGAGTCCTGTAGCTCAGTGGTTAGAGCACTCGCTTTGCAAGCGAGAGACCTGAGTTCAATTCCAGGCAGGGAGAAACCTTGGGCAAGTTTCCTTACTCCACACAGAGCCTAATAATAATCCCTCCAAAAAACCAAAAACAATAATAAATTGGTCATTTTCAATCTACGACTGTTTGTGGGACATTGCTGTGCACAATTGGCTGCCGCGTTCGCCCACAAATATACAGTCAATTCACTTTACAGTGTCTTCTGTGAAGTGCTTTGGGACGTCCTCCCGACGTGAAAAGCGCTATATCAAATGCAAGGATTATTATTATTATGATTGTTTCGTCCACAAAACATACAGTCAATTCACTTTACAGTATATTCCATGAAGTGCTTTAGACGTCTTGAAGATTTGATAAGGCGCTATATCAAATGCAAGGATTATTATTATTATTGTCACTTGCTATTTGGCTCCAAAACATCTTGAATAGTGGAAAAATAGGTTTCTTTTGCTGTCATGTAAAGTGGAAAGAGACTTCCAGCGCAACAGGAGGTGATAAATGCATGCACAAGGGTTTCGGCTGCATTTGGGAGCCAAAACCCTTGTGCATGCGTTTGTCACCTCCCGCTTGGATTACTCCAATGCACTTCTTGCTGATCTCCCCAGCTCCACCATTCACAAGATCCATCTTATCAGAACTCTGCTGCCCACACACTGACCTGAACCAAACTCCGTACCTACATCTCACCAGGTCTGGCCAGGCTCCACTGGCTCCCCATCACCGAATAGATTGACTTCAAGATCCTCACTCTCGTGTTCAAATCCATTCACTGTCTAGCACCTCCCTACCTCTCCGACCTCCTCAATCCCCAATCCACCACCCAGAGCCTCTGCTCACAAGACAAGACAAGACAAGATTCCATTTATAGAGCGCCTTTCACGTCAGGAGGACGTCCCAAGGCGCTGCACAGTTGGGTCATGACCCGAGCAGGGGGGAAATGGTCAGGGTGAGGGGAGGGAAGGGAGGGAGAGAGGAGGGGGGAAATGGTCAGGGTGAGGGGAGGGAAGGGAGGTAGCGAGGAGGAGGAAGAGAGTCGAGAGGGGAGCTGAAGGCACGGTCAAAGAGAAAGGTTTTGAGACCGGCCTTGAAGGAGGAAAGGGAGGAAGCAAGGCGAAGGCACTGGGGGATGGAGTTCCAGAGCCTCGGGGCTGAGAGGCTGAAGGCCCGACCACCGATAGTAGGCCGGTTGGGCCGGGGGACGTGGAGCAGACCGAAGCCAGAGGAACGGAGGGTACGGGCAGGTAGGTAGGGGGATAGTAGGTTGGAGAGGTAGGAGGGAGCAAGGCCGTGAATGGCCTTGTAGGTGAGGATGAGGATCTTGAAATCAATCCTCTGGGGGATGGGGAGCCAGTGGAGGCGAGCGAGGGTGGGAGTGATGTGGTCCCGAAGCCTGGTGCGGGACAGTACACGAGCTGCAGAGTTCTGAATGACCTGCAGCTTGTGGAGGGAGGTGCCGGGAAGGCCGACGAGGAGAGAGTTCCCATAGTCCAGCCTTGAGGTGACAAAGGCGTGGACCAGGGTTTCAGCGGCGTGAGGGGTGAGGTAGTGCCGTAGTCTGGCGATATTCCGGAGGTGATGGAAGGCGGTGCCAGTTGTGGTGCGGATGTGAGGGAGGAAGGACAGCTCAGGGTCGAACAAAACGCCGAGGTTCCTGACTGGCTTTGAGAGGTGGAGAGTGCAGCCTTGGATGCTGATGGTGTCAGCGCCTGAGGTGCGGAGGCGCTGACGTGAGCCAATCAGGAGGGCCTCGGTTTTTCGCACGTTGAGCTGAAGAAAGTTGTCTCTCGTCCAGTGCTCAACAGGCACTGGCCTCCTATTCATCCCTCGCACCCTCCACCCCACCATCGGAGGTCGTGCTTTCAGCCATTATGCCCTGAAACTCTGGAACACTCTCCCTCAATCCTTCCTCCTTGCCCTCTCTCTCCCCGCAATCAAGTCCCACCTGAACATTTTCCTCTTCGACTGTGCTTACGGCCACCTCCCCACTCCCCCCAATTTGGAGTCAGGATCCACCACTGTTAAGCGCTCTAAGACACTATCCTGCGTGGAGTGCGCTCTATAAGTGCAAGTTGCTGTTGTTGTTACAACATTAAAGATGTTGTAAATGTCCTCATTCTATTTCCGAAGGTAGAAATCATTAGTAAATAGTAAACTGGTATCTGAGATTTTAGATTCAGAAATGTTACAGTGATGTCCATATTCTCAGTACCACATCAAGCCAGTTTGCTAATAGGCTTAGCAATAATGATACATATTTATTTTTTGGTTTGGTGAGAATAACACTCTGATGTTTGCTACTTCCTGCACAAATGAGTCTCACAAGGTCAGTGGTATAGAGGATAAGTAGTAACCAATTCCCAAGCGAACTGCTGGGATATTGACAAAATGGCAACTCTCAAAGTGCAAAAGGCAATATTGATGACTGTTTCTTTTTCAAAGTTTGCCGCTTTGAGATTCTCCAATTTGTGAATTTTGTGTGAATCTCACAATTTGATATTTAGAAACTTCAACTAGCAACTGTTTGAGAATATCTCATTTAAGGCCTGAATATTGACATATGGCTTCATGAGGCCTGAAACAGATAGTTTTAGCGTACACAACTATTTTTATTTTGTCTTAAAATTTAAGATCATCCTGAATTGTAGAATTTTTAACAATTCTGTCTTCATTTGGAAGTTGTTTTTCCACACTTAATAATAATCTTTGCATTTGATATAGTGCTTTATTACGACTCACAACGAAACCCGGCAGCCAATTGCACACAGCAGTGTCCCACAAACAGCCGTGGATTGTGTGACCAAATTTCTTAAAAAGAGTTGATTTCCATATTCACACTGAAATTAAGAATTGCCTGCATTTCTGAGCATTTTAATTTTTTTTCAATAAAATAGTCTTGAAGGCACCATGTGGAATTTCAGAACAACTAGCTTTCAATCATATTTCAAACTCACCTTTCTTTATAATTATCTATTGATCAATTTATATATTTGCTTTTTTCTATAACAATGTTAATTGCTATTGTTTTGTCTGATATTTTTTCCCTTCTTTTAAGGAAGAAGAATAAACAGAAATATAATTTCTGCAGCAATTGCTTTGGTCTGGCTCTATGCTTTGATTTGGGCAGTCTTACCTCTAGTAGGGCTGGGGCTATACGGTCCGGAACCTTTTGGCATTTCATGCACTTTAGCTTGGAGTGAATTATATTCTTCAGCAAACTCAATGTCATTCATAGTAGCTTCATTTATTCTGTGCACCCTCCTCCCAACTGTGATTATTGCAACATGCTACACAGGAATAGCTTGGAAGCTTCACAAGGCATATCACGAAATACATAATAATCAGCAAGTTATAATTTCAGTAAAAATTGACAGGAAGATAACACAGGTACGTTGCGTTTCATTCAAAAAATATTCTAAGAGAATGTGTGCTGTGTTGTTTTCTGTGTCTACAGGCAATGAAATGTAGTTTTTTTTCCTGAGAGGAGTAAGGTTGTTTGATTGTTAAACTCAGTATGAGGGAAAAGTCTGTTTATGATTGCGTTTCACTCTGTTTCAACAGCAACAACAACAACAAAATTGCATTTGTAAAGCATCTTTCATGACAGGAGGACATCCCAAGGCATTGAACAGCTAGGGATCAGGACCAGAGTGGTGTGGGGGGGGATGGGCAGGGTTGGGATGAGGGAGGGCAGAGAAGTAGGAGGGTGGCTGAAGGCACGGTCAAAAGGAGGGTCTTGAGTTGTGCCTTGAAGGCAAGAGAGGGAGCAAGGCAAAAGGGTTGTGGAATAGAGTTCCATAGGGTGGGGCAGAGAGACTGAAAGCCTGGCCGCTGATGGTATGGTGGGTCGGGTGGGAGATATGGAGCAGACCGGAGCCTCTTGAACCGAGGATAGGTGATTAGCAGGTCAGAGAGGTAGGAGGGGACAAGACCGTGGAGGGCCTTGAAAGCGAGGATAAGGATTTTGAATTCTATCCTCTGAGGGATGGGGAGCCAATGGAGCCGGGCGATGGGGTGACGGAGCCTGGTGCGGCAGAGGACATGAGCTGCAGAGTTCTGGATGATCTGCAGCTTGTGGAGGGAAAAGATGGGGAGGCCGACAAGGAGGGAGTTTCCATAGTCGAGCCTTGAGTTGACGAATGTGTGTATGAGGATTTCGGCGGCCTGAGGGGTGAGGCAGTGGTGGAGTCGGGCAATGTTGCGGAGGTGGGGAAAGGCAGAGAGGGTCATGGCATGGATATGGGGGAGAAAGGACAGTTGAGGGTCGAACAAGACGCCCTGACTGGCTTGGTGAGGTGGAGTGTGCATCCATGGATGCTGATGCTGCCAGTGCCTGAGGTGTGGAGGCGATGGTGCGAGCCAATCAAGAGGGCCTCAATCTTGTTGACATTTAGCTGTAAAAAGTTGGCTCTCATCCAGGTCTTGACATCTGACAGACATTCTGTCAGGACATCAGTTGTCCTGGAATCGAGGGTGGAGCCAGAGACATAGAGTTGGATGTCATCTGCATACATGTGGAAGATGGCCCTATGTCTGCGGATAATGTCACCAAGAGGGAGCATATAGAGGTTGAAGAGGAGGGGACCGAGGACAGAGCTCTGAGGAACACCACACAGACTGTGCGGGGGCTGGAAGAGAAACTGTTGGCAGAGACAAGTTGGAGACAGTGTGAGAGATAAGACTTGAACCATTCAAGGACCGAGCCTTTAAGGTTGAGGTGAGAGGAGAGGAGGTGGAGGAGGATGGAGTGTGTATCACAGCCTTCTGCACAGCCTCCTCAATTATGTATCACAGCTGAATTTCAATAACTTTTGAGGCTGAAACAGAGTTGAGGAAAGCATGACCTCCCTAGCCTCTTTGGTCAGGCCGCTAATGCTTAAAGGATATTAACCTTTGGCATCACATTGGGGGATGGGGTAATGGAGAACAAAATGGACCTGATTAAGGGAACTGGCAAGATTCCAGCATGCAGGTAAAAAAAAGACTATGGGGAAGGTAAAGGCACATTCTAATAAAACACTGCTACTCTGTGCGAAAAGTCAAGATAACCTTTAATCAATCGCTTTCAGATAGCAGCACAGATGTCTCTGAGTGTTACCGCTGCTAGTGAGATAATGAGACATCTACCTTTGATACTACTGTGATTGCTGTTAATACCTCTCAAAGCTAGGAATAAGTTATATTTCCATTTCCTTTATTTTTGAAAATCAGATATCGCATCATATCACTAGGAAAATTATTCTGTCTCATGCTAATGCACCAAAGGGGGAAAAAAAACTGATGGGGGATAACAAATTAGATGTATTAAAGTGCAAGAGTAAAATGGAATTTGGAGAGTAAAGTTTCAGAGGCAGTGCATATCTACTCCAAAAATCAAACTAGCTTATATTGGGGGAGTGGAGAATAAAAATATAGCAGCAGTGAATAAAGCAATAATTGGACCACATTAGTGGGTTTGATAGAAGTTAATTCTGTGATTTTGAGTTATTTCACCCTTGCTCAGTCGGTAGTACTCTTATCCATGAGTTAGAAATTAGTGGGTTCAAGTCCCACATCTAAGTTAACACTCCATTGCAGTGTTGGGGGTGTGTTGCATTGTCTGAGGTGCTGTTCTTTGAATGAAACATTAAACCAAGGCTCCATCTGTCTGTTCAGGTGGACTTTAAGGATCCTATGGCACTACTCGAAAAGAGAAGGGAGTTTCTCCTGGTGTCCTAGCCAATAATCCCCAAAATAAAATTGATAATATGTTTCATGGTTGCTTGTGGGACATTGCTGTGCACAATTAGGCACAGCAATGTCCCAATTCCATTTTACTCTTGCACCGTAATACATCTAATTTGTTATCCCCCATCAGTTTTTTTTCCCCCTTTGGTGCATTAGCATGAGACAGAATAATTTTCCTAGTGATATGATGCGATATCTGATTTTCAAAAATAAAGGAAATGGAAATATAACTTATTCCTAGCTTTGAGAGGTATTAACAGCAATCACAGTAGTATCAAAGGTAGATGTCTCATTATCTCACTAGCAGCGGTAACACTCAGAGACATCTGTGCTGCTATCTGAAAGCGATTGATTAAAGGTTATCTTGACTTTTCGCACAGAGTAGCAGTGTTTTATTAGAATGTGCCTTTACCTTCCCCATAGTCTTTTTTTCACCTGCATGCTGGAATCTTGCCAGTTCCCTTAATCAGGTCCATTTTGTTCTCCATTACCCCATCCCCCAATGTGATGCCAAAGGTTAATATCCTTTAAGCATTAGCGGCCTGACCAAAGAGGCTAGGGAGGTCATGCTTTCCTCAACTCTGTTTCAGCCTCAAAAGTTATTGAAATTCAGCTGTGATACATAATTGAGGAGGCTGTGCAGAAGGCTGTGATACACACTCCATCCTCCTCCACCTCCTCTCCTCTCACCTCAACCTTAAAGGCTTGGTCCTTGAATGGTTCAAGTCTTATCTCTCACACTGTCTCCAACTTGTCTCTGCCAACAGTTTCTCTTCCAGCCCCCGCAGTCTGTGTGGTGTTCCTCAGAGCTCTGTCCTCGGTCCCCTCCTCTTCAACCTCTATATGCTCCCTCTTGGTGACATTATCCGCAGACATAGGACCATCTTCCACATGTATGCAGATGACATCCAACTCCCAGTTCCCTTAATACTTATGCCAGGTAAACCCTGACACATAAATAGTTCAAGGTGATGTTCCAAGGCACCTCGGTTTGATGGTGGTTGAAATCCCTTCGGGAGAAAATATAATTTTTTATGAGGTATCTTGAAGTAAGAGTGGCTTCTTTCTGCCCTTTGGCTATTTTAGTTTGGTCACAAATAGTGCCCTCACCATACTCATTGTAAGGGTGGTTTACAATCAGGAATTTTGATCCACAACTATGTCTACACTCGACTAAAGAAGTGCAACATTATAGTGCATGGTTGGGAAGAGGAAAAGGAAATATTTGACATAACACAGACTGAATCCAGGAACATAATGTAAACCAATGTAAACAATAAATCATTTTTTATTGCATGTAACTTACAGTTGTTGATTGTATTTTTCAAGGCTATTTAACACTGTATTAACTTATGTTAGCTGTTTCTCTTCACACAGGCGACTTTAAACACATTAAACATTGGTTATCTCTGAAATCAAAATCACTTTATACTGAAAGAATAACCCATCAGGGCACTATTTGGAAAGAGAGGGAGTTTCTCCCAGTCTCTGACAATAACAACTTGCATTTATATAGTACCGTCCATGCCAGGTTCCATCTTGGAGGGCTTTACAATGGTGGAGTTTGATGCTGAACCAGGGAGAGGGGTGTCGGTGACCATAGGAATGGTTGAAGAGGAAGGTCTTCAGGTGTGGTCTGAAGATGGGGGCAAGGCGGAAGGAGTAAGGAAAGAGTTCCATAGCTTTGGGGCATATGGCTGAAGCCACAGCCGCTGATGATAGAGCGGAGGGCATGAGTGATGTGCAGGAGGCTGCAGTCTGCTGAGCGAAGGGAGTGGGAAGTGGAGTGGGGTGTAAGCAGGTCAGATAGGGAGTTGCCAGGGCATGAAGCGATTTGTACACGAGTGTGAAGATCTTGAAATTGATCTGTTCTGTGATAGGGAGCCAGTGGAGCCTGGCAAGAACTGGGGTGATGGGGTACAGAGTTTGTTGTGCTTAAGGATACCATTGTTCTCCCAGCCACCCAATTAAAATGTTTAACTCCATGGCTGTTTGTGGGACATTGTTGTGTGCAAATTGGCTGCTGTTTTTGCCTACAAAATACAGTCATTCTACTTTATAATATATCCTGCAAAGTGCTTTGGGGTGTCTTGACAATGTGATAAGGCACTACATCAAAACGAAAGGATCATTATTAATAAACCCTTTTGTAAAATGCAGTTTGGCACAGAAATGTTAGGATCAAAGAAGTGGGAGCACAGTTTAAAATAGTAATTGAATGCTGCAACTAAATGCAAGACATATTCAAGCACCCTCCTGATGTGAAAGGTACTATATGTGTCAATTGTATTGTTTACACTATAAGACAGTCTTCATTACATGTTGAAGCATTAATTCAGTCAATGTTTTGCTGTAAATAATATAAATCTTACAAAATTCTGTTTTCCAGATGGCTGTACTGGTTAGTCTTGGATTTATTGGGTGCTGGGCGCCATATGCTACAGTCAGTTTCTGGTCAATATTTAATTCCAACACCCAAATACCTCCTGTGGTAAGTTTGCTTCTTTGCTTGTTTGCAAAATCATCAACTGTGTATAATCCAATAATTTACTATACGTTCAGCACAACCTTTCAAAGGGAAGCAAAGAAATGTCTGTGGTGCTGTGACAAGAAGGTTCATTCATCAACTATCCAAGATCTCCCATTGCGACCTCAGGCTGCCACCTGGCCTGCTTGGGACAATGTGCAATCGTTGAGCATCTTCAATGCTAATCAATCACCGATCAGACAGCACAAAAACCAGGATAAAACGACAATCCACTTACCATCAAATATTTCAGAATGTGATTCTTTTCATTGACTTAGTGCAGTGGTAGCACTGTCACCTTTGAGACAGAAGGTTGTGGGGTTCAAGCCCCAGTCAAGACTTGGAATCACATAGCCTAGACTTACACTCCAATGCAGTGCTGGGGTGTGTTGCATTGTTGGAGCTGCTGTCCTTTGATTGAGACATTAAACCAAGGTCCTGTCTGCCTGTTCAGGTGGAATTAAAAACCCCATGTCTAAATAAGAAGGAAGTTTCTCCCGGTGTCGTTACCAACAAATTCCCGAAATAAAATCAGTTACTCATTCAACGGCTGTCTGTAGGTAATTGCTGTGCGCATATTGGCTGCCGCATTCCACCCACAAAATACAGTTAATCCATTTTACAGTATGTCCTGTGGAGCAGTTTGAGGCATCTCAATGACACCACTTTCAGTGATAAGATATTATATCAAATGCAAGAATTCTTCTTCTCAACAATGTAAAATGAAATGAATGGCATAATCGTCACTGTAAATATAAGTGGAATGATTTATTGAATCGGTATAAAGGCAGAAGCTTTTTATGAAGATTTCCAAATGGAATAAAAGACAACGTGGGATCTGAAAGTGGTGTCTTATTTTACGAGTTATGTGAACCATGTGTGTCATGCATTATGTGTAATCACATCTACAGAAGGAATTACTTGTGTCACATTAAAAATATACACTTAAAGAACTTGCATTTTTATGCCACTCAAACATCAAAACTTCTCAAAGCATTTTATAATAATTATTCTGTAGTGACAAAACTTGGTCTTAAAAAAGTGTGATGGTTATTGTTGTAGTATGCCGTTTCCTCCTGTGAATAAGTTCAACCAGAAAGATTGATTCATTATATTTTTAATCTTTGCACTATAATTTGTATCTTGTGAAGTGCAACAAAAGTATATGTTAAATGTAATTTAATATCCCGTAAGTGATTGTAACAGTCAATTTATGTTTGTTAAATAAATTGCATAAATACATCCTGCTCTTAATCTCTGCACCATATTTGCTGTTGGAGAAGTTCAAGAATTACATCCGCAGAATGACAAGATAAGTGTGGAATAAGAAAGGTCATCTGGCCTCTAGCTCCTCTTTCTAGACATCACAAACTCTAACCGATCATAAATTTCATCTCACCCTTTCAATCTCCCAGAAAAATAGTATCACAGATAAATCTTGATTCTTCTAGGCAAATATAAATTCACAATATTTACCACACTCCACTTACATCCTCTCTTTCTTCCAGAGGTTTTGCATCTCAAATCACTGCATTGTATCCAATTGACTATTTGGTCTATATCTCTACATCCTCCAATATGGTTACCAATTAGATAGATTCAGTTCAGTAATCTTTGAAGAAATTAATTGGCTCAACATCAACCATTTGGTTGGGAGTGATCCACTTTCATTCCTCTAGAATTTTTTTTTTTATTTTTTTTAAAAGTCTCAAATCCTGCCTCAAAAGACAGTCAGAAATTTAAATGTATTATAACTTATGCGGAAGGTAATGTTTAGAACTGTGCAAGAATAGTTAATGTTCCGAGTCCAATTAAAAAACCCATTCAAAGTTGAACCAGCACTTGTCAATGCAATGAACCTTAAGCTAAGAATAACTGAATATTTTCTTGGTTGATTTGAACATTTATAGCTTTAATTTATTCACACATAAAATTCAATTACATTTTGAATATTCATTAATACACGTAATTATACATTATTCTTAAGGCGTGAAATTCCCCTTAACAGACTGCAAGACATTGACAGCATGACAATTTTATCTTAAGATTTAAGATTGCACAGAATTGTGGAAAATCTTCAAATTCTGTCTTAATTTGGAAGCTGGTTATCCACATTCTTTAAAAGAGCCTGCTTCTAAATTAAGACTAAATTTAAACATTTAGGAATTTTTCACAATTTTGCAACATTTTAAAAATAAATGGCCTGATGACCCACACATAACTGTAATCATGATTTTTCCCTTAAAGGCAAGCTTCTGAAGTACAAACAGTTATAAACTATTATATATATAATATATATATGAGAGAGAGAGATACACTACAACTTTCCTAGAAAGTTACAAGGCACCAACAATTATTTCTGAAAGGATTCATTTTTAAATTGACAATCACCAAAATACTGTTTATAATGTATATCTACATAAAGGCTCAATTCTTTGACTTTTATATTGACTGGTGCCTCCTGACCACGTTCTGCTCAATGTTGTCAACCACCTGAACTGCTGCAAGTGGAATCCTAGTGCCTGGCCCAAAGATGCTGCACACACCCGCCTTGTATAACATTTCATAATCCTAGGACAAATAAAGTAGAAAATATCAGCTGGGTTTTTCCTTCTTAAGAGATTACATAAATCCAGAGGTACAAAACTTTAAAAATGACCATTTAATTTTTAATATTAAGCCTTGTATACGGTACAACACCTTTCACATTGGGAGTGCAAAGCACTTCACAGGATTTCACTATAAAATGTAGAGACTGTATCTTGTAGGTGAGCGAGGCAGCCAATCTGCCTACTGCAACGTCCCGCGATACAGTCATGATGTGAATGACTGGGGCCAGCTGACTTGCTTCCGGCACCAGCCAGTTCTTGCCATTAAAAAAAACATAGCTGACTTCCAGTTCATGGAGTCACTGTCATCATCACTTCCTGTTTTCTGTGCATGTGCAAAATAGGAAGTGATGTCAGTGACCTAATGAATTGGGAGCTAAACTGGCTCCGAGCTGAAGTGCTTGACAACGGAATTTTGCAATCGAGCCTTCTGTGGCTGTCTCGGTTGTTCAGTTCCTGAGCAGGTTCGCAGTCCTCCAGGAGACCGCTGATGATAGCCCGGACACTCTGGCTCATCAGCAGACATTGGGGACAGGGATTCTACCCGCTTGGCTTCTGTTATTCCCCAGGTCAAAGTCCCAATGGTCGTCATTGGTGAACAGTGGGATGTTTGCCAAACAGCGCTCTCAATGGCAAGCAATGTGTTTTAACTGATTAAACTCCAGTGGATCCCCAAGTCACATACCTTGGATCTCCGATCTGCACCTAAACCACCCTGTTTATCTAATTCTCACAGAAAAGTAGGGTGTGTCCCACCAAGGAGAGAGTGCGCATTCTATTCTAGACAGAGATATTTCAATGTCTGTCATACATATGTGGAACCTGTCTCGTTTGGATACACTTAAGCATAGTGATTGGTTTCCATATGTGTCAGATACCCAGCTAACCACAAAAAGCCTCGGGAGGTAACTTTAATATAAAATGGCCAGTTTTTCCAGCTGAAGCATGGGATAGAAAATAAAATTGGACATTACCTGAGGAGGAATCACACCACCACAGATGACCAGTATGTCTGGACGGTGAAGATTACATAGTTCTTTAATCAATTCCGGCACAAGGGTTTTGTGTCCAGCAGCCAAAGTACTCACACCCACACAGTGAACATCTGCATCTACTGCTTGTTGAGCCACCTCTCGAGGAGTCTAGCAGTAAAAATAGCTTATATTAGTCAATACATTTAACAAGAGTTGAAATCCCATAAATTGCGATCATCATATCTTCTGGACTACAGTATAAACTTGCCATCAAGGGTAGTCAATAGTCTGACTGTTTTGTACCGATTACTAAACTAGAACAAAAAAAACTGAAGAAATGGACTTAACTCAGTTGTACTCTCTCTTGAAAAACAGTTAATTTCTTTCTGGTAATTTTCTGATCTGATCTAGATGATTTTCTGTTGCAGAATTCTAGAGATTTGATTAGTGTGGCACTGCAGTCTCACTGAGGAGCTGTGCCGTTGCTTTCAATCTCTTGTCAAATGCTGAACTCGATACAAAATGTTTAAATAATGCAAATGATTGTGATAATGAGCTATTTGTCCTAACTGTACCCTCAAGAAAGTGCATTTGCTCCCACTTCACAACTTGGCTGTATCAAAGCCTCAGTGGATGTCGTGAAAGTTCCCTTCAATTTTATTGATAACATTAACCTTTCCAGAGTTATGTTATGACACATGATTGTTCAGCTGCAAAGGACATTACAGGCATTTGGAGTCATGTAGCTCAGTGGTTAGACACTCGCTTTGCAAGCGAGAGACCTGAGTTCAATTCCAGGCAGAGGGCGAAACCTTGGACAAGTTTCCTTACTCCACACTGAGCCTAATAATAATCACTCCAAAAACAAAACAATAATAAATTGGTCATTTTCAATCTACGACTGTTTGTGGGACATTGCTGTGCGCAATTGGCTGCCGCGTTCGCCCACAAATATACAGTCAATTCACTTTACAGTGTGTTCTGTGAAGCGCTTTGGGACGTCCTCCCGACGTGAAAAGCGCTATATCAAATGCAAGGATTATTATTATTATTATTATGGGCAAGGTTTGCAAAATTAATACCTGGAAATCAGGGGTTATAAAATATGCTGGAAAAATTGACTGTTTTTCCTGGTAGACAGAAGTTCATGAGGCGAATTGAATCTAACAAATCAAATCTAAAAAGAATCTTCAAAATACTGTGAATGGCTTTGAGAGGATAAAAAGTTCAGATTGTTTTCACTGGTTGGTGAATCGGTAGCCAGGGGGCATAAACTCAAGTTGAAAAGAATAATTAAGATAACCCACTTGGGAGACATTGCTGTGTGCAAACAGACTGTCACATTCACCTAGAAATACAGAACCTCTACATTTGACAGCAAAATCCTATGAAAAGCTTTGAAATGTTCCTCACAATGTAAAAGGTGGAAAATGCTCTGATATACCTCGTGATGATATTAATAGTATATTTTTGTGCTGTTAGTACTACCTGCAGGGAAGCATTACTTATATAGGTCTAGAATGAAAGCTTCTTGAAAAAACAATTTGTTGATTATTGCAAAACACAGTTTCTGCCAGAAGCTACTTTCAGAGGACCAAAAATGCTGTTATATCACATTATGTTTTTTGTATCACTTAAGGAGCTTTTCTACCTAACAGCTTCACACACTTTGATGGCCTATCTGGCCTCCAAACTATTTTTGCTCCACTGGAAGCATTATGTGAAATGAACAATGTTCTTCAAAGTTCAAATCTGCACAATAGCACATCTCCAAACAAAAAAACAAAGAAGGCAGATCCCTTCTACCCTCATACAATAAAACAATGCACGATTCCCTCTATTTAACGTTTGTCAAATCAGAATCTATAGCAGTGGTTTATTTTTGCCTAACAGAGAATCAGCATTTGAACTCACAACCTAGGCTGACGCATGAGTAGAGTATGAAGAGCAGGGCATTGTTGGTGGTGCCATCTTCTGCCTGAGAAGTTAAGCCAAGATTGATGTCTGACTGTTCAAGACAATGTTAAAAATCCTATGGCACTATTTCAAAGAGGAGTGGGGAGTTCTGCCAGTAACTGACCAATACTTCTTCCTCATACAAATTCATCAAAATATATTTTAACTCAGCGTTTGTCTCAGTTCTGTTTGTGGGAATAATGCTGGTGCAGATTAGCTGCCACATTTGACTGCCTTAGTTACAGTTCAAGGTAATTTATTGTGTGAAGAGCTTGGAAATGTTTTGGGAGTGATTTATAACAGTAATAAATCTTATATTTGACTTCATCAAGTTAGAGAGATTTCTCAAAGTGTTTCACATGATTTTAATGTAGAATGTCGTAAATGTGTACTTTGTAGGTGAACGAGGTAGGCAATGTGCGGACAGCACGGTCCAATAAACAGCCATTAAGTGAACACAAGTTTTAATAAAAGCTTTAAGAACCTGGAACAATGGTCCTATATCCACGTCAAAGCCAAGATCAGCAAATCCTGTGGCGATAACTTTAGCTCCCCGGTCATGACCATCTTGACCCATTTTAGCGACAAGAAGACGGGGATGGCGACCTTCATTCTTAAAAAATTGTTGAACCCTAGACATAAAAAGGTAAAAGTTTGAAAAGTCCACTGAAAACGGGAATTTCTATAGTTATATTTAAATACATATTTAATGTTGATTTTCAAAACCGTCAAAAAAAATTCAACATATTGTTTAATTACAAGTACTATCTACAATTAAAAATGCAAGGACGATTAATTTTATTATATAAACAAGCAAGATGTTCCTGATGGAGGCACAAGCCCATGACGACACCTTTTAATGTGCTCCACCTGAAGTTACATAAAATGTAACTTATTGGATTTTCTTTCCAAAATTATGCATGACCTTAAATTTTGACAAACGGTTTGATAGGCTAAGGGTAGGTGGGATTTCCTGATCAGATCAGCAAAGGATAATAAGTGAAACCCCATTATTTACAATGCACTTCATTATAACGTGAGCTCACTTACAGTCAATTGAGATGCAGATCCTAATACTTACCGAAAAATCCAAACTGAGTGTCAGAAATCAGCTGGCTCACTTCAAATTGTGTTCTTGTGCTTCAAAAAACTGGCTAGCTTCTCGCAATAAACAAAATAGCCAACATCTGAGTCATGAGGTAGTCGCTGTCACTTCAACACTCCACACGTGCAGAGTGTAAGACATGATACTGACGGCAACTTGACTTAATATTGTTTTAGTGCCTGATGCCATGGGAACTTTCTACATGCATGCATAGTGAATATAGAAACACTTGGACTAGCAACTGTGCCAGTTATAAGGTGCGTTAGGATTTTACGGCCCCAAATTACCACATAACGGAGCTCTATTTTATGTTGTCTATCCTGCATGTCTTCTCAAACCAGCCAAGTACTTCAACTTCTGTCTAGATGTGTAATACGAATTTGCCTTAATCAATACTGGATTTGAGGAAAGCAAAAACAGTATTAATTGAAACATCTCTCAAAATGATGGTTTTCTAAGCGATACCTAGCTCAATGTGTCAGCCTCAGTAATGGTTGAATCAAAGGCTGTGTACAATAAATTAATGAGGCATAGCAGTGCTTCATGACCACAGTCAAATAGCCCAATTATTTTTTAAGACAAGGAAGAGAATCTTTACTTCAAAAGAACTCCACAAAATTGTCACCATTTAAAAAAAAATGCAACTCTTTTTCTCAGATCAATGAGTTATTTCCTCAGCCAAGGTGATGGATCATTTTGAGTCTCTGCTGACATCCTGATCCAGTCGTGACATATTTGGTGCCAGATGCTTAGTAACCTTAATGACCGAATATTCCAGCTGCTTGAGAGGCTAATCTTGTACAAATCTTAGTGATCCCTTCCCTATCACCTCACATAAAGCTGAAACCTAAGGGCAGCCTGCCAAGTAAACGTAGCAGACTTTAATTGCCAAAAACTCCAGCAATTTCTAAAACTATACATTTAGTGAGGAATGTGGCTCATTAAACCATTAAAATATGTGATTTTGATTAAAAAGTAAAACTACTTCTTTAAGAGAACCTTGCAGTAAACCTATGAATAATACAATGGTTTCATCATCTCAGATTCCAGCTCACCGATTCAATGCTGCAGTCAGTTCTTCACTCTCACCAAATTCTTGTCTGTAAGCACCACTCACCATGCGGTCACTGGCTCGATGTTCACCAAATACTATTTTCATTGCCTCTGTAATCTCTCCAACTGTACATCTAGATAAAAACAAAAATTTATGTGAGAGATACAATACATTGAGGAAAAAAGCAAATCATTATTCCATGTTTAAAATCCTAAATCTTAACAGCCATTTATTTTATGTTAAAGCACTTATATAATAGAACTGGGTACATAGAAGATGTATGGGAGTGAAGTATAAGTGCTCTAGTGAGACATGTAGGCAATGTCAAACATTGACAGTCAATGTACATATTCCTCCAATTTTTATTTCCAACATGAATCATATAAGTTACATTTGTTCATATTGAATTGCTACTGCTAGTGATCCTGTCAAATAAATACAGTGTGGAACTCTATGCTGAGGTCAATTTTTTAGAGGCAACTGCCCACAGAAATAAATGAAAAAAAACTAGAGGGCTGATTTGAATAGATGCCATTTACTCGCTCCATGAATGTCGATCTAGCCTGCCTTCTAATGGCACATCCATTTATTCTCGTCATTGAACAGTAAGGGAGTGAGCAGCACTAACGATAGCTTTGATGAAGTCCCAGAGTTAGAACAGCATAAATGCTTGGTCAGATACACAAGAACAGGTCTGCCAAAGGTCACAAGCGAAAGAGAAATGGACCACAAATGACACGAGGGCATAGAAGGACTAACACTCCCAAAGCCAGAAGCCTTGCTGAATAATACATTGCAACACTCAATCTGACAGGAATACCAACTAAGTCTCGCAATTTCAATCAACAACGAGGCAAAGCACATATTTAAAATCATGTTTATAGAAAATCATTTTGTGTTGCATTTGGGGAATTTAAGAGAAACTTGAAATATTTTGTTTTGAGTTTGGCATTACATGGATGGATGGACAGCGGGAAACTACACTGAGCAAGATTATTCAGTTCACCCTAGTCTATTGCAACAAAAATATTGTTAAAAAAGCAATAGGTGGATTTTGCAGGCACCCTCTCTCCAGTGTATTTTCGAAACTAATGCTCATGTAAAATTGAGCATCCATCGAATCTGATAAACATAAGTCTAAAGTGAGCACTTTCTTCAACTCCCTGTGCGCTCAGTGACAGCAAATAGTTTTAGCAACAACAAATTTCATTTATATAACGCCTTTCATGTTGGAAAGACTTCCCAAGGTGTTTTAGCAGTCTTGCATGTCTCTTCTCACATAATGTTGCCCCACAAAAACAGGAATGTGAAAAAACTCCAGTTCAAGCATTGGCATTTACGCTTCTACCTATTGGCAACCCCGTTATAAAAATTGTGACTGTTCCCTCGGTTTCAGCATTCACCATTTTGTTACTAACAATAATAACCATTTTGTCCAAGAGTTTTCCCATTCGAAAATTGGCCACAAATTCCATTTACTGGCCGTACAGTTAAGTCAAACAAAGAAATAGACATTTGCATTGAATTGCACTCATTAAGCTCGATGTCTATTACAGCAGGCAAAAGATCCCCAATAGATCCCCAATGGATATTTAAAAACAAGGTCCCAAAAACAAATGAACTGGGCACAGTATCTGTCCTTAAAAATCAATTATACAAATTTTAAATCCTCCTCTCTTCTCTCTACATATACTGCTTCCTTTGTTTCAATGATCACGCACTCTCGTCTTTAAAGATCTGTACTCTTAAGTCTTTCTGCTTCTATACTCCATAAAAATGCTACGATTTAAACTATATTTAATTTCTTTCTTCTTCCTTCCAAACAACATTATTTTTTTCTAAATGGAAATTCCCATGTATTGGAATGGACTGCGCATTCTCTCGCTTGAGGGACACATCCCGGTTACCTAATTCCAAAGAGTATTAGGTGCAGGCTGACAAGGACAAAGGGTTTGGAAACCTTGACTTTGCTTTTGTGTACTGCTGGAGTTTTACCACAAACTATGCCATTGAACCCAGAATATCCCACCTGAGTGGTGAGAGTGCCACTAGCCAGGCTGAGCCGGACTGACACGCCAGCATAATATTGTGTGGATAGTGCACAACTCAACAGTAAGTGAGCACTGTGAGTGAGCAGAAGCTGAGTGTACCACACTTACCACCATGTGCTGATCAAATCTGGCAACAACATACAGCAATACAGGTTAGGATCATGGATACAACAATAAAAACAATTTACATTTCCATAGAAAAAATTCCCGTCGGGAAGACAGCTCAAACTAGTTTTTACCTTTCCTGAGCAGCTTCCACTGCAAGAGCCAGCAGATTTCCCTTCCCAGTTCTCGCACATTCAGTGATGGCATTAAGGCACTGTTCAGCCGCTGCCTGATTTCTACTTGCTTTCACCTAATTTGAACAAGAAGAGTCTTTCAGTTTATTGTGATCCTTGCAGGTCTATGATGTTATTATTAATTGAAAAAAAAGCAAAGTCAAATCATGCGTCTTATACTCTCAATAATTAAGGCAATGATTCAGATATTGAGTATTCTGAAGTGTGAAAGGAATCTGTGGAACAGGATTGAATGTAGACATTTAAGTTGTTTACATTAAGACCCAGAAAATATCAAACTGAGCAACGATATCTTAGATGGATTTTGAAACTGCTCAAAATCGAGATCAAACTTTTCTTAATATCCACAGCACTTCAGGCATTATTTGCTGACTATCCTCTGGGGGTGGGGGAAAGCAAGCGGGGTCTCCTTGGAGCTGAGCTGGCTTAATCAGTATAGTCAGTCAGCCTCTGAGAGAAAGATAGGTTGCAAGGACTGTACCTAAACCATTACCTAGATTCTTTCATATGCTGATCAATTGGTTATGCATTTCCAGTACTGTCTTGTTTCATACATTCTGTTTTTCCTGTACATTTCTCTTCAGGCCATTATATTTACAACAACAACTTGCATTTATATAGCGCCCTCCATGCGTGGTAGCGTCCCAGAGCACTTCCTGTACCTGAACCATTACCTAGATTCTTTCATATGCTTTTTCTGAGGTCTTTAAAACCTTCCCTGGACCCATCCCTACTCTCCAGCTACCGCCCCATCTCTAACCTCCCATTCCTCTCCAAGGTACTGGAACGAATCGTTGAATCCCAACTCCGCTCCTTTCTCTCTCGCCATTCCCTCTTTGAACCCCTCCAATCTGGCTTCTGTGCTGCCCACAGCACGGACAGACCTGGTCAAAGTCACTAATGACATTCTGAACATCTGTGATCAGGGCTCCCACTGCCTTCTTGTCCTCCTCGACCTCTCTGCTGCCTTCGATACTGTCGACCAATCCATCCTCATACACCGCCTCTCCGCTTTACTCAATCTTCACGGACCTGCCCTTGCCTGGATTGAATCCTATCTCTCTCACCGTCTCCACTTTGTTGCCTCTAACTGTTTCTCCTCCAGCCACCGCACTGTCACGTCTGGCATCTCCCAGGGCTCTGTCCTTGGCCCTCTCCTCTTTAATACCTACGTGCTCCCCCTTGGTGACATCATCCGCAGACATGGGGTCAACTTCCACATGTATGTGGATGAGACCCAACTCTATCTTTCTGCCTCCACCCTCAACTCCAGGACCATTGCTGTCCTGACAGACTGTCTATCAGACATCAAGTCCTGGATGAGGGCAAATTTCCTCCAGTTGAATATGAACAAGACTGAGGCCCTCCTGATTGGGTCGCGCCAGCGCCTCAGCACCTCAGGCTCTGGCAGCATCAACCTCCATGGTTGCACACTACAACTCACCAAGCCAGTCAGGAACTAGGTGTCTTGTTCGACCGTCAACCATCTTTTCTTCCCCACATCCATGCTACGACCCGTTCTGCCTTCCCTCACCTCTATAACATCGCCCGACTCCGCCACTACCTCACCCCTCAGGCCGCTGAAACTCTTGTAATAATAATAATAATCCTTGCATTTGATATAGCGCTTTTCACGTCTTCTTAACGTCCAGTTCAAGATCCTGGTCCTCACCTACAAAGACCTCCATGGCCTCGCCCCACCCTCCCTCTGCGACCTTCTAACCCCCTACCAACCCGCCCCCTTGCTCCGCTCATCCGGCTCCAGCCTGCTGCATGTCCCCCGACCCACCCATCCCACCATTGGCGGAGAGCCTTCAGCCACTCTGCCCCCAACCTCTGGAATTCCATCCCCCAGTCACTCCGCCTCGCCCTCTCCTTAGCCTCCTTCAAGTCTCGCCTCAAAACCCTCCTCTTCGACCATGCCATTGGTCACCCCCCTTCCCTTCCCCTCCCTTCTCTCTCCCTGACTCCAGCTCGGGTCTGAAATGCTGTACACTGTCCAGCGCCTTGGGACGTCCTCCCGACGTGAAAGGCGCTATACAAATGTAATCTTGTTGTTGTAAAACTGAGTCCGTAACGAGTAAGGAATGGGTGGAGGCTCGTGTGGGGTATAAACATTGGCACACACTGGTTGGGCCGAGTGGCCCATTTCTGTGGTGTACATTCTTTGTAAATATTTGTATCGGCTTCACAACTCATAGTCTACATCTTGTTCTTTCAACAATTCCATGGTTAGGAATGTTACAGATGCATCACAAATGAGAGCACTTCTGAAGGACTGGGTTAAAGTAGTCATGGAAATGGAAGGGAATCCATTGTCAATGCTGGTTTGTAATAAAACCAACGTGAGAATGCATCTTTCATCCCGATCGGGATTTTTAGAAGGGGAGAAACTAGATGGTGTTAGCGTTCAGAGGGACTTGGGTGTCCTTGTACACCAGTCACAAAATGTTAGTTTACAGCTACAGCAAGCAATTAGGAACAGTATGTTGGCATTTGTTACAAAAGGGTTAGAATATAAGAGTAGGGAAGTCTTGCTGCAACTGTATAGGGCCCTGGTGAGACCGCACCTAGAGAATTTTGTGCAGTTTTGGTCTCCTTATTTAAGAAAGGATGTACTCGCCTTGGAGGGGGTACAACGTAGATTCACTAGGTTGGTATCAGGGATGAAAGGGATGAGTTATGAGGATAGGCTGAGCAATTTAGGCCTATATTCTCTAGAATATAGAAGAATGAGAGGTGATCTTACAGAAACCTATAAGATTATTAAGGGGCACGACAGAATAGACAGTGGGAGACTTTTTCCCCTGTTTGGGGAAACTTTAACCAGGGGTCACAGTCTTAAAATTTGGGGTAAACCCTTTCGCACTGAGTTGAGGAAAAACTGAGGGTAGTGAATTCATGGAATTCTCTACCCCAAAGGGCTGTAGATGTTCAGTCCTTGAACATATTCAAGACTGAGATTGATAGATTTCTTGTGGATAAAGGAATTAAGTGATATGGGGATAAGGCGGGTAGGTTGAGTTAGAATAGACCAGCCATAATCTTATTGAATGGCGGGGCAGGCTCGAGGGGCCGAATGGCCTACTCCTGCTCCTAACTCTTATGTTCTTATGGAAGGAAAACTCAAATTGATCCACTGCCTGATATCTGCATCATTTGGGGAAAAAAATTTAATTCAGGGAATGGAAGCGATTCTGCTATCAAGTCATTTCACAACATAAGTGGTTATTATGAAAGAATTACGTGGATGTGAAATTGCTATGATCTTACCTTTTTCAGCTTTGCAATCTGTTGGTTACGCACAGCTGTGTTATCAATAGCCAACACTTCAACAGATTCTTCTTTTTCTAGACGATATTTGTTCACTCCAACAATTACCTCAGCACCTGTTGAAATGATATGAAATAAAAGTGTATTCAAGACACTATTCAAAAACGCTAAGCGGCGTCAAATGTGCATTATTCACAAAGAAGCCATTTCTGATTTTTTTTTAAAAAGTTTTTTGAAAAAATAGTCCAGTGAGTAAAACATCATTGGCCCATTTTATCTTTTGATGCACTTGTACAGTTTATGGAAATTGTGGAAGTCGCAAACAGAAGACACGATTAGTTCTTTTTACCCCATGACAGAATATCACAACCTAGTGCCCTCACCCACAAGCTCCAGCTCAATCAAAACTCTGCCACCTGCAACCTCACCTTGCTCCAACTCCTTATTCTCATCAGCCCAGTCCTTACTAAATTCCACTTGTTGCCTACCTCACTACTGATCAATTTCAAGGCCCTCATTTATAAATCTCTTCACATCCTAGTACCTCCCTATCTCTGTGATTTATCTGACCCCTCTTTCAGTCATCCCCTCTGCTCAGCTCCACATCCCGTGCCCCTCTACCTGCCACCGGTAGCTAAGCCTTCAAAGCAACTACCCTTATCCTTTAGACCTCCCTCTCTCTACCCCTCAATCTTGCCACCTCTCCCACCTTTAAATCCCACCTAAAAGCCAACTTCTTCCACTGCTCCCCCAGTCACCTCTCCCCACCACCGTTGCTCGGCATTCAACACAGGCCCGCTAAAGGGCTCTGAGATGTTATCGTTTGAGAGGGACGCCATAAAAATACAAGTTGCTGTTGTGGATACTGGTATTTGTCATTAATAGAACGTAAGAAGATACCCGACTGGATGAGACCACTAGTCTAGCCAAATGGCTCCATTTTCAAACATGTTTCTATTCCACATAATACCCAATCTCTTTCACCATCAAATATTTATCCAATTCCCGCCTGAAGCTGCCACAAAACCACATTCACCACCTATTTGGCAAATTTAACTACCATCTGTGTAATTACATTTATTTTTCTATTCATACTTTTAAATTAGAGACCATGCATCGCCGCTTGCTGTGAACCTTTTGACCATATTGCTTGCAATATTGTAGTTTAGCTTGTGCATACCATTTAAGGTCACAATTATATTTGCCCACAAGTATATTCACCCATAAATATACAGTCAATTCACTTCACAGTACATTCTGCGAAATGCTTTGTGACGTCTAGAAGACGTGAAAAGCGCTGTTCAAATGCAAGGATTGCAAGGTCATTCTGCACATCTTTTTCTTTTAAAACATGTGAACAGACTTGGATCGCCCAGATCACAATTCTGCACCTGAACAACACTTTGATACAAAAAGATTATAAAGATTTAAGCCCCAGAATCCTCTAATCAAAAGGTCATTGGAAAAATAAATGTAAAAGGCTTAATGGACCCCATTAGCAATATTAGTAATCTAACATTGTCCTATGCTACTCTTTTCTCCAGGTTTCAATTCCCTACAAAAATTAAGCAGTTGATTCCAGCAAATTGAAAATGTCCCAAGCAGAAGTATTTGTAAGATTTTATAGTTTTGCTGTTTAGAAGAGTTTTAGTATTGCAGTAGGCTGAGTGTTGCAGAGGAAATCACAGCACATGCATTTAAACAACATCTACATTACATCTTTCACACTGAAGAACATTCAAAGTGGCTGCCGAACAAAGTAAAAGATATTGTCCAAGGGGATAATAATAATAATCCTTGCATTTGATATAGCGCCTTATCACGTAGTTGAAACGTCTCAAAACACTTCACAGCATATATTGTAAAGTGGATTGACTGTGTATTTTGTGGGCGAAACTGGCAGTCAATTGCGCACAAACAGTCGTGGATTAAATGGCACAATTTCTTTTAAAGGATTATTCCCCCTGGAAAGCATCTGCCAACAACCAGGTTCCTACTTACTGCTAGGTAAACAGATTTTGGTGGAGTAAGGCAACTCAGGTCCTCTCACTTGCAAGTGTGTTAGCTACTACACTAGGAGACTCCATAATATGGTTGAAGATAAAGGTTTACAACAACAACAACAAAATTACACTTGTAAAGGGCCTTTCACAGCAGGAGGACGTCCCAAGGCACTGAACAGTCAGGGATCAGGACACAAGTGTGGTGGGGGGGCAGGGTTGGGATGAGGGAGGGCAGAGAGGTAGGAGGGCGGCCAAATGCACGGTCGAAAAGGAGGGTCTTGAGTTGTGCCTTGAAGGAGGCAAGGGAGGGAGCCAAGCAAAGGGATTGTGGGATGGACAATGGGGGTGGGGGCCGCCAATGTTAGGGTCGGGAGGGAGACATGGAGCAGGCTGGAGCCTGCTGAGTGGAGGAAGTGGGCAGGTTGATTGGGGGTCAGCAGGGGGCAAGGCCATGGAAGGCCTTGAAATTGAGGACATGGATTTTGAATTTTTTTTACAGGAGGGTTTTAAAAGCAAGGGAGAGAGGTAAAAAGAAAAGGATGCAACTCTTACAGTATCTTTGACCTCAACTGTAAGTTCTTAAGGTGCTCTTAAAGTCTTAAAATTGGCAGATATTTAAAGTTCCAATGTAAAAACTCTGGAGATATACATGAGGACACAGTGCTAAGAGACCCACTCCCTGTTTGAATGACCAGCCAGTAGTGCTAAACACTTCGGGATGTCCTCCTGACATGAAAAGCACTATATAATGTAAATTTATATTGTCACGGACAGCAAACCAGGGAAACGAACAGCTAGTAGAAAGCAAACAGACTGGCAGCTGGCATGCACAGTGAAACCAGCCATTATAGCGTAGGTTGGGATTTTATGGATGTCAATTACCATGTTGCAATGAAGCTCCATTATATACACATGCCACACACAGAGTGTGGTAACAGCAAGTTTGTTGAAGTTGATTCATTATAATTTATACAAACTGAGAAACTCCAACAATTCCAATTGAACTGAACAGCATTTAGTTTTATAGCTAAAAGGGTTAGCTCTAACCCTGGTAGTTTTGTTGATGCTTGTAAGAATTGTCACTCAATTATCTATCATCACTCCCTCTGTGTGTGCATTTCATATTACATAAACGGAAACCATTCATGGTTTGAATTCACAGTGACCTACTTGGTTTTGATACTCTTAAGGATAAATTACAAACTTAAAACTCAAAATTTTGAGTTCATGATAAGTTCAATTATAATGTTCCAATACAAGGATTATTATTTAAAAGGATACAAGGATTATTCCAATTCAAGGATTTTCCAATATAAGGATTATTATTATATGAATGATTTCCATCAGGCTCCACCACTGTTAAGCGCTCTGAGACACTACCCTGTATGGAGGGTGCTATATAAGTGCAAGCTGTTGGTGTTGTTGATATTATTATTATCTGAATGATCAAACATATTTTTCCTTTCATGTTCCAACAGCATTGAATAACCAGCCGAGAACACAATGAATAAAAGATGTTTACCAGAGTCAATTCTTGCCTGTCTTCTGGCAGCGCACTCTTCAATCCGAAGTTTAGGAATGCCCTCTGCTACTGCCTTTGCCATTCCACCCATTTCTTCAATCTCATTGATAAGCTAAAGTTAAACAAAACTATAGCATTTACTCTAGTTATTTGCAAAAAAACTACCTTCCTCACTAGGGCACATTCATTTATCCCACCGGGCGTCTGAGCAAAAAGGACCGTTCTGATGAAGACATCACATTTAAGCATTTTAATTATTTCTCTCAAAACTGTACATGTATTCCTACCTCCTTATTCTTTGTGATCTATGATCATTTTATATCAGGAACACAACTTTAGAAGGCAATATTGTGGAGACTTAATTACTTCATATAGGCTACTCCATTATGTACTTAAGGAGCAACGGTAATAGTAGTTGGACTGCTTTGAGCGTGAATTGGAGGCATGAATAGAAAGCAGGTCAAATAACTTCAAAGCTTGAAATTTCCCTTGGTGACTAAGTGAAAAAATGATCGTCTACTTTTCTTGAATAATTAATGTAATTAAATATTGAGTTGAATTATATTGATTTATAACCAGCATCACTTTCTTTAAGGATTTTACTCTGTTAAATTAAGCAAGCTCCTCTCAGTATATAATAAAATTGCAAACCCTCAATTAACCACACGTATAAAGCTGAAACTGTCACAGCATAACAAACACAAAAATGTGTGTCGTCTCTGTTGAATAGCGATACAAACCTTTAAAGCAGCATCATACACATCATCGGTTAGAGACTCCATCATGAATGAACCAGCCCAGGGGTCTGCCACTTTTGGGATACCAGATTCCTCCTGGATAATGATCTGGGTATTCCTGGCAATTCGGGCACTCTTGACTGTGGGCAGACCCAATGCTTCATCAAAAGAGTTTGTGTGCAGTGACTGAGTGCCTCCAAACACAGCTGCCATTCCCTCAATCACTGTGCGAATAATGTTATTGTATGGGTCCTGAAAATGAAAAATTACACTAGCATATGAACAAATTAAACATTTACCTGTATAAATCACTGCAACTTTATATCTTTAATAAGCAAGCTCCCCTCAGTAAATCATTAAATCCCAAACTCTCAGTTAAGCACACATGTAAAGCTGATGGCACAACAAGTATAAAAAATGTGTTGTTGTTATAGTTGAAGTACTTTGAACTCTACGGTTTAAACCTCTGGTGTGGCATGTCTTTTTTGTCCACTAACCTGCTCAGTTAGAGACCAACCAGAGGTCTGACAGTGAGCACGGAGCAGCAAAGATTTGGGATTCTTGGCGTCAAACTTTTCTTTTATTAAATGTGCCCAGAGCCGTCTCGCTGCTCTCAGCTTTGCTATTTCCATGTAGAAGTTCATACCAATTCCCCAGAAGAAAGAAAGTCTGAAACACAAGGGCAAAACATTTCATTCCATAGTGTTTTAAAACTACTCTCTCCAATGTCATTCTGTACCTTCTAAAATTACAATTGCTGCCCATGATGCCAATTGAATGCTTCACATGTTGAACAAATAACTCGTACAGAGCAACATTACCCTGGAGTCATCATGACTTCCAGTGGTAAAGCGATTATGAGCCAGAAACCTGATTCCCAATTCCTGCTCAGGAATAAATGTTCTGTGTTTCAGACAAAGTGTTGTGCTGGGTTTGAGTTGAAATACTGCATTAGTGCAAAATGTGTTCTAAACTGGGAATAAATGGATCCGAATCCATTGCAAAACTTATCAAACTTATGCCAAATCATAATGTATATAATGTATAAATAATATATTCTGAACATATTTCTATACTTTATGAGATTCTCCCGTCACTGGTGAGTATAATTTACAAAAATGTACAAGTGCTGCAAAAGGTCAATCACTTGGTCCTGGTGACCTATCTTCCCTCTAAGCAGCATCTGCGACCAATATTAAGGGACAGTATGACAAAATCTCAAGCCAAAGATGCACTTGAATAGGAGCAATGGGAGTATAGTCTAATGCATTAATCAATAGTTGCATTTTGTGGTAGAAACCAACCTACCACATAGACTATATAATTAAAATATAAATAATCCTTGCATTTGATACAGCGCCTTATCACGACTTCCAGACGTCTCAAAGCGCTTCATACGATACACCGTAAAGTGAATTGACTGTATATTTTGTGGGTGAAAGGCGGCAGCCAATTGTGTCCCACATACAGTTGTGGATTGAATGACCCATTTATTCATTTTTTTTGAAGGAATTATTATCCCCGGAAACCAGTGATCCGCCAATCGACTAACAACCGGGTTTCTACTTACTGCTAGGTAAACAGAGGCGGGTGGAGTAAGAAAACTTGCCCAACGTTTTGCCCTGACGGGAATCGAACCCATGCATTTCGCTTGTGAGGCGAGTGCTCCAACCACTGAACTACAGGATTCCATATGAGTTTCAAGTGCTGACGTGGGGCTTGAACCAACAACGTTCTGACTGAGAGGTGATAGCGCTACGAAACTGAGCCCAGGCTAACACTCAGGAATCTCCAGACCTAGTTATCTCCAAACAAACATACGTACAAGTGTTGGACTTTGTAAGTAATGAAGTATCTTTGCGACAACCCAAATAGTTCCAATTAAATTTGATAACCAGAGAAAACACTGTTTTCTGTGGAAAAATGGACTATAACTTGAATTATATTAACCATAATTCGATGTGCACACTTGCAGAACAATCCATACAAGATCTGCCATTTCCTATTTGAATCTTCCTTTGATATTAAACTAAAAGATTCTTAATTTTTACTGCAGTTAGTGTTCTGTCTTTTCATACAACACTGGCACAAAGTACTGCATTGTCAGTCTATTCCAAAGTCAAAAGATTAAAGAGATGAATGTGTTTGCTTCACCATTAATGCATCAGGGAATTAGTTAAATCCTACCGTGGTGCAAATTCATCGATGGTAAGTCCAACCTCGAGTCCAGTCCTGCAGTATTCTAACCCATCCGCTATGGTGTAAGCCAGTTCCAAAACTGCATCAGCACCAGCTTCCTGGATATGGTAGCCACTGATAGAAATCGAGTTGTATTTGGGCATGTACTGTTGAAGAAAATAAACAATTTATTGGTCAAGCTATTCAACAACAAAGGCAATTAAGAAGAACAGACAAAGAAAATACATATTGCTGTGCTGCAAAACAGAGAGCAGTGACACTCATTATAGATGAGGGGCCTTTTACAGCAATTAGACTGATGGCCAGTGATGAGCAATAATTATGAGGATAACAACTGGATAAATAAGGCCTCTTCAGCCTTGATAAGAAATTTATCAGTGGGAACCTTACAAAGAAATACACGTCGGGAGGACATCTCAAAGCGCTTCACAGGATTTACTGTGAAATGGAGTGACTGTATATTTGTAGGCAGCCCAATTGCGCCACAATGTCCCACAAACAGCTATGAAACAGCTATCAATTTTATCTGAGGAATTGTTAACAGGAAACCAGGAGAAACTCCTTACTCTTTTCGACTAATGCCGTGGGATCTTTACCATCCACCTAACAGGTAGTTGGGATCATGATTTAACGTGGCACCTCCGACAATGCAACACCCCCCTTGCACTGCATTGAAGAGTCATCTTAGACTGCGAGTTAAAATCCTGTTGTGGTACTTGAACTCACCACCTTCTGGTCCAGAGATTAGAGCTGATAGCGAGAAATTATTTCCACTGCTTGGTGAATCAGTAACTAGAGGGCATCAATTTAGGATAGTTACCAAAAGTAAAAAGGGGAGATTAGTAGGGTTCTTGTTTAACATAGTTAGGATATGGAACAAGATTGGTATTTAAAAAGGAGTAATCTGAAGGAGTGTGGAGAAGGCAGGTAAATGGGGCTGGATGGATTGTTCTTCCAAAGAGTCAGCGCAGACACAATGGAGTTTAAATAAGCTTTCTTCTGTATTGTAAATTTCTATGGTTCTAATACTTTCGGATACACTGGGAAAACACTGGGATAAGAGGGCACAGTGACAAGGCAATGAAGGACAACATGAGGTCCAATGGGATTATAGTTAGTAACAAATAACCAGAACAGGTTATCAGAAAAAGTAGTTGAATAAGGCCAGGTCACTGGACTCTTAAGAAACAGCTGGTTGTTGTTTTGGAAGATAGTAGGATTACATAAGACAGTTTCATTACAGAAATACTTTTGATTGAGATCCTTACAAATATTAAATCCATTACATTTCAAAGAACAGAACAAAATGAATGTTGTCCAGCTTCCAAATCAGCACCAATTTATACAGAAATGTAACATTATGTCCATCCATATCTAGCATCAGTTGTATTATATACTTTTAATACATGGAAAAAAATGATACAGTACTAACCTTTGAAGTATACTGGAAAATATCAGCTATAATCTTCATTGAAGGCTCCGGTGGGAAAATATAAGTGTTCCTGACCATAAATTCTTTCAAAATATCATTCTGAATAGTACCAGTCAACTTTTCTGCAGGAACTCCTTGCTCTAGCCCAGTCACAATGAACATGGCCAGGACTGGCAGTACAGCACCATTCATAGTCATTGAAACAGACATTTTTTCCAGAGGGATTCCATCAAAAAGCATCTTCATATCTTCAACACTGTCTATAGCAACTCCTGCCATCCCAACATCTCCATGAACACGGGCGTTGTCTGAATCATAACCCCTGTGAGTGGCAAGATCGAATGCGACCGAAAGTCCCTGCTGACCAGCTACAAAGAGAGTAAATAGATTACGATCACTATTGCCATTTTGGACTGAGCAAGAGTTTATTTGGATTTTCTTTACAAGAAATGCTGCCGAGTCATCACTGAATCACTAAAAAAATTATTACAATAAATTAGCAGTGAAAATACAATGTATTCCAAGTGTAGATGCACAAAATATAAGACCAAGCAACTTATGCTTTCAAATAATTGATAATAGTAATCCTTGCATTTGATATAGGGCCTTATCACGTTTTCGACACGTCTCAAAGTGCTTCACAGAATCAGAACATACTGTAAAGTGAATCAACTGTATATTTTGTGGGCAAAAGACGGCAGCCAATTGCACACAACAGTATCTCACAAACAGTTGTAGATTGATTGACCAAATTATTATAATAAAGGTTTTGAGGGATTATTACTCCTGGAAAGCGATCCGCCAATCGACTAACAACTGGATTCCTATTTATTGCTAGGTAAACAGAGGCGTGCGGAGTAAGAAAACTTGCCTAATAATAATCTTTCCATTTGATAGAACGTCTTATCACGTCTTCGAGACATCTCAAAGCCGGGAATCGAACCCGGGTCCTCTCGCTCGTGAGGCGAGGGCTCTAACCAATACACCACAGAACTCCGCTATTTCACGTAAGAACAAAAGGACATAAGAACATGAGCAGAATCCTGTCGTCGCTCAAGCATCGAAACCATACACTTCCAGGAGTGGTAACAGATGAGTGATAACGATAGCTAACCTTGGTGCCGTGGTTATTCTGATCCGGCTCCCCTCCCCCGTTACCCTGCTCCGCATGCGTCAGCCTTGGCTTAGTTGGTAGCACTCCCCCCGCCTGTGTTAGAAGTTTATGAGTCCACGTGCCACTATCCGAAAAGAGAAAGGAATTTCTCCCGCTGTCCTGTCCAACAATTCCCCAGATAAATTTGGTCACTCACTTCATGGCTGTTTACGGGACATTGCTGTGTGCCAATTGGCTGCGGAGTTTGCCCATGAAACACACGGTCACCGCACTTCCGCGGCAAATCCTCTGAAGCGCTCCGAGACATCGTCCAGGCAAGGGAGGCCCTCGTAACAAATGCAACGATGATTAATATTTACTCGTCAGTCGCTGGAGTCTTGAGACGTCACCCGAGGTTAGTGGCACAGCGCTCGGCCAACAAAATAAAAGGGTGTCTGGATTGAATATTTCCTGATTAATGGCAGAAATCTGTGGCGTTTGGTTATTTTTATGATGATGTTGTTGCTGTAGGACAGGTGACGGTCTCTGTAGACACAGCTGCTGTCACCGTCCCGTCCCCTCACCGTCCCCTCACCTCCCCTCTCCCCCCCTCACCTCTCCCCTCCCCCCTCCCCTCTCCTCTCCTCTCACCTCTCCTCCCCTCTCCTCTCTCCCCCCTCCCCTCTCCTCCTCTCCCCTCTCCTCTCCCCCCCTCCCCCTCCCCTCTCCTCTCCCCTCCCTCCCCTCCCCTCCCCTCTCCTCTCCCCCTCCCTCTCCTCTCCCCTCTCCTCCTCTCCCCTCTCCTCCTCTCCTCTCCCCTCTCCTCTCCTCCTCTCCCCTCTCCTCACCTCGGATGTTGTCCCTGTAAAACCTGTTGCTCTCCTCCACGGTGCTGAACCCCGCATACTGGCGGATAGTCCAGGGCCTGTGTGTGTACATGGTGGGGTAGGGCCCGCGGGTGAAGGGCCAGACGCCGGGCAGCTCCTCGCTCAGGTCGGCCGTGTCCCGCTTGGTGTAGACCGGCTTCACCTCGATGCCCTCCGGCGTCTTCCACACCAGATCCGCCGCTTTCTTCCCCTTCAGCTGTTTCTCCGCCAACACCACCCACTCCGGGTGTAGGGAGCTCCGGGCCCGCGCCCATTGCGGGCGGGTGGCCGAGCCCGGCCCGCGGCGCAGCAGCTTCCAGAAGCGGAGCATCACCAGAGACCGAGGCTGAGACCCTGCAAACAGGCCCTGAGTGACAGCCCGCCCGACCAATCAGAGCTCAGCCCCTCAGCCAATCAGAGCTCAGCCCCTTAGCCAATCAGAGCTCAGCCCCTCAGCCAATCAGAGCTCAGCCCCTCAGCCAATCAGAGCTCAGCCCCTCAGCCAATCAGAGCTCAGCCCCTCAGCCAATCAGAGCTCAGCCCCTCAGCCAATCAGAGCTCAGCCCCTCAGCCAATCAGAGCTCAGCCCCTCAGCCAATCAGAACTCAGCCTCTCAGCCAATCAGAGCTCAGCCAATCAGAGCTCAGCCCCTCAGCCAATCAGAGCTCAGCCAAGCAGAGCTCACTCCCGGCCAATCAGGAACTTGCTCTGGCTGCACTGTCCAATGTGCGGTGAGCAACAACAACAACTTGTATTTATATGGCGCCCTTCACATGGGATAATGTCCCGGAAAAGTGATCCGACAATCGATTAACAACCGGGTTCCTACTTACTGTTGGGTAAACAAAGGTGTGTGGAGTAAGGAAACTTGCCCAACATTTTGTTCTGCCCCGGACTCGAACCCAGGTCCTCTCGCTTGTGAGGTGAGGCTCTAACCACTGAGCCACTGGACTCCACGTTACCATTTTCACATTACAAACTGCTTTTCAAAATGAATCTAGTTTCCTGACCTCAACTGCGCTTCCCGGTAACCCGTTCCAGTTGTTAATTACATTCTGAATAATGAAAACGTCCTGGTATTTGTCCTGAAATTGCCCTTTGCACACATTAAAGTTTAGCTCCTCTTGTTCTGGTGTTTGGTACATCTGAGAGTGGTAACACTCACACTTCTGAGTCAGAAGCCCACCCCAGAGCTCTGAACTTACATAGACAAAGCTGACATTGCAATATAGTGTTGAGGGTGTTGCTGCATTGTCGGAGGTGCCATCCTTCAGACAAGATGTTAAAGATTTTCTTATGAAAATCAATGTAAATCAATGATTTACTCATTGAAGTAAATGGCTTCAATTTTACCGTTTTAATTTCAGTTTTAGAGCGAATGAGCGCCACACATTTTAATTTCCAAGGTTAGACAGCATGGGGCAGCGGAAGTAGGTTGAAGGAGGTGGTGTACAAGAGAAATTGCCTGTTCCTATCCACCAGAATTAGCCTGGAAGATCTGTGGAGCCCGGCTGACGGCGCAGGTGCTGGTCATGGTCAAACCATATCTGTCAGTGGATACACCATAATGCTCTCCAGCCTACGGATCATGGTTTGATTTCTTAGTTTAAATACACATACTGTATTCCACTCCCCCTCCACTCAACCAGCTCGTGTCTTCTGCTCCATCATCAGTGGCTGGGCTTTCAGCTACGATGGTCCTAACCTCTGGAACTTCCTGCCTCAGTCCCTTCACCTTGATGCCTCTTTGCCCATATTGAGATCATATCTGAAGACCTTACTCTTCAACTGTTTTTACGGTCACATTTTCTTTCTCCCCAGCTCAGTGTCAAATTCTCTATTCGTGCGATTGGTGCTATATAAATGCAAGTTGTTATTGTTGTATTGTTTTGTGCAAACAATTTAATAGCTAATAAATGATTAAAGCAGAAATAATTACAGATAACTTGTATACAATGTGCTATATCAATTTTCAATATACAGTGTTCTATATTCTATATTCGATTCTATATTTGTAATGGTTTCTAAATACTTAAGTACAAATTGTTTTAAATCTCAACCTTGTCTAATAATCTTGAATTGTTTAAAAAAGGGGGCATTTACAAATATAAATGTTTCACAAATATACCACAAATGGATAGTAGATAGATCAAAATTGACTATTTGATACAATGAACATTTCTTTGCACTTTCAGCTCAGAGCTTTTTGCGGGAACTTGCTGATGCCCATGTTTGTCTTCAGAACCAGTCATTACACTTGACAGTAAGTTCCTTCTTTCACTTGTGGCTTTTGAACTGTAGAAGTGTAAAGAAATGTTATGGAATGAACAACACTGGAGGAAGTCAGATAAAATTACCTAGAGTGATATGTCACAGAAACAGGCTATTCAAGCCCAACTGTCCGATGCTGTTGTTTATGCTCCACAAGAGGCCCCACCCCTTCTATTCCCCACTCCTATACCCTTCTATTCCCTTCTCCCTTGTGTTATTTATGTATATAACAATATTTAAACCTAATAAATGTATGCAGTGAAAAGAAAATCCTTGCATTTAGATTTTTCACTGGGTAGCATGTATACCACTTTATTTAACAATACTGCGGTCTGGTATCTATTAAATAAAAACATTTTACCATTAGTGCTGACACTGATATTAATGCATTTGCACTTGATTAATGCTGGTGGAGTAGCATAATTCAGGCTTCGACTGTATCATTACAACGTGACACCCATTGTAACATGGTGTTCTGGGTCCATACAATTAGACCCAGCATTACAACATGAAAAAAAATGTCTCAACCCTAATGTGACTTCTGGGTCTGGTGCAGACTGGCTTCCTACACATATGTACAGGCCTCAGTCCTTCACAACCATTCAAATGAGTGGTTCTTCCATTCTTAAATCCAAACTGTCATACATTTCACATACTTTTGCAAGTATTAATCTTAATTCTTTTTTACATGCTCATTGAAAGGATGCCTATACATGTTTGTTATAACTTTAGTAACACCATGAATATTTATTTATAACTAACTGATTTTTCTCATATTCCATACTATAGATATATTTTTTACATAGAAGAATCCCACTAGATATCTGCATAAAAGGACAGGGAATGCTTGAGAGTACAACCACAATACCTGAATTTCAGTCTTTAATAACTGCTATTAAACAACATAAAAAGACAAGATTATTTTTTTTGTAGCATGTTTTACAATATTGCAAAACAGAAAATCAGCTTAGCATTTAGATTATACTGCAGAACAGAGAGGGAATATGCATGATCTTGAAAGCTGCAGGAGCTATTTATTACTGAGAAATTTAAATGCAGGGCACTTGCCCTTTATAATGTGGACATCTGAGTACAACATCTCAGGCTCCGTATTATAAAGAAGTAGAATAAAATGGCCAACCTCCAGACCGTCAGGCTGCTATTGTCACCACTTCCTGTGTGCATGCACAGGAAGCGTTGCTAACATTGCTTCCTGTGCCCAGCACATGCCTGCTATGCACAAGAAGTGCCACTGATTTCACTTCCTTCATCACAAAGTAACAGAAACAGCAAACTGACAACCTGGAAGTTGGCCATTTTTTGCAAAGAATTTAGTTGCAGGTTGCCATAGCTATGTCTTGGAGACTCCAGAATGTGCAATGGGGTCTGTCAGGCTTCACAACCTTATTATGTTATCAGTGAACTTGCATTATAGCTGAGTTGTCCAGTGTAATGTAATGGGCCTTCTTATTAGCAATAAGACACTGTGTTCATTGGTGTGAAAAAGTTTTAATATTGTTTTCACTAATTTCTTCAGACTAAAATTGTTTTGCAAAGCTTGATTTTTAAGATTATTATAGTATCCAAAATTCTCCCTCTGCCCTCCCTTTTTTTGTCTACCACAGGCAAAAATCCATCACCAAACTACTGAGAGTCCCAGAGAATTTAGTTGCAGGTTGCCATAGCTATGTCTCGGAGACTCCAGAATGTGCAATGGGGTACTGTTGGAATTTAATGAGCTAAGACAGCACAGTCTACCATTGTAGAGCACTGGTAAGTTTCCTCTGTCCAGCTCGGACCATCCTACCATTCAGCACTTTGGTTTGCAGGATTATACGATGAGCGGGAGGAATCGGGGATGCTGGACTCATTCAAAAAATAGCTTGAGGCTGTGATGGGAGGACAGTAGGGTGAGTGTTATGGAAAGACAAGATTGAATAGGCCGAAGGGCCTTCTTCATTCAAACTCATCTTGTGTTCTGTGAATCCAACTCCTACAGTTTTCTCCAATCTATATTGAAAAAAATAATTGTTGCTCGGATATGGTTCCCTGTATTATCTTAGAAAGTAAGTGTTGGCAGCTATTTTGACCATGTGGGTGGCTGCTAGGGGAAGTATTAACATCTCTCAACATCCATATAAACACATTTTCCAGCTTCAGACTAAGTTTTGAGCTAACAATCTGGTCTTGCGCACTTGTGAAGTATGGAGCTATATTATTGGAAGCTGCATCCTTTGGATGACTTTTTAAAACCTAGGTCGTTGCTGCTTGTTCAGATGAACCTTAAAGATTCTGTGGTATTGCGAAGGACAGGAAAGTATCATGGCCAATATTCCTTCCTCAATCAAGTTCGTACAGAAAAAGGTTAATCGGTTATTCATTTGTGCGATGTTAGAGGTGCTAATACTGTACACTATAACGTATTTTTTCCTACACAGGAACATTATCACTACACTTCATGCCACTGCTTTTTCTAATAGTACTATATTACTATGTAGTATACTACTATATAATAATACTGTATCAAATGCAAGTAGTATTACTTTTGATTATATAATTATTAAAGAGTAAGTCATATGACTGAGTCTAAAAAACTATAACACCCTCTCCATCCCCCCACCCCCCGCCGGCCGGTTTCATGGTTCTGCCTACGCGCTGAGTTGCGTACGTCTGGGACAATGAAATCTGAAATAAAATGTTAACAGTTCTCAGCCAATTTGAAGAGAAGCAGGAAGTTTTTCTTTAGACAGGCTTTTTTTGAAAGGCAATAATTTCATTTGATATTTCCCCAGTTATTAATTTAGCCTGATGATATTCATTACTTTTGGATTGAATACTGAGATCACACAGTGACAATGAGCCACTCCATTGTTTCTGTATGCTGATCAGTTCCCTGGCAGCTCATGTCAAGTCATACTTCAGGATTAATTTTGTACTTTCCATGTTCTGAAGAGTTTAGTTGTTCACCGTCATCCTCAGCATCTGGCACCTAAAACAGACACAGGATTTACACTACTGGGACAAATGAACATTTCACCTCAATTGAACCTATACTCACTGTTAATTGACACTATACTCTTAGGGTAAAAGGCTTCATCTGCCCTGGGGGTCATGTGGTGAGGACAGTCAATGGAATAACACTGATATCCCATTGAATGATGATGGGCACTGAGCTCAGTTATACTATCTGTGGAATAAAACCGTGATCTCGGGTCCTGGAGTATATAATCTGAAGCCTTCAGTGTAACAATAGGCTTTGTGAATAAATCACAACATGCCATGAGACAAGTTTATGGCATGTCATGTCTTAAATTTAAAGCTCTTCTACAAACAGGAATTCTGTTAATATCTCGGAAACTTAAGTCAGGGATAAAGGAATTAAGGGTACAAAAAAAGGGCAAGAATCAGAAATAAATGCTGATCGAATCATGTGGGATGAAATTCAGCCTGGGTCTAGATTTACTCCATTTCTTAGTATTTCAGAGTTTGCAGAATTTCTTACAGAAACCCAGCTTCAAATTTACCAATTTGCCAAATTTGGCAATACTCTAAAATAGTGTACTAATATTGTCAATCTAGACCCAGAATTTCTCCCCTACATAATGTTACAAGACAGAAACTAGCCATTCGGCCCATCTGGTATGTACTGGTGTTCTTTTCCACATCAGCCACAGAGTCTAACCATCTCATCTAGATGAATTGGAACCTAGTCCTGAATTTAACTTTTATCATCCATCCTATGCAGGAATAACTAAAATAACAATTTGGAATTTTAAAATAATACAAATTCTCAACACTGAATGAAGATACATTACACACAAAGTGTGGCACTCTTATTAAACATTACAGAATCTGTTAGCATTTCATACCTCCCAGTAAATCTGATCATCAAAGCAATTTTGATCCGGTGGCTGTCCCCAAATTGGCAAGCTAATAATGAAACCTGTAGAGAAAAGATAAACAGGCATTATTCCAGGATGAAATTGTCAACACTAAATTTTGATCACCAGATTTTGAGATTCTAAAGTTGTTTTTCATAAACAATGTGATCTTATCAAGCTTTTCTCGGTGATATTCTATCATCCTGTGATTGCCTCCATTTCATTCTGTTGTTCTATTGCTTGACTCAGGCACTTGAGCATTACATTTTTTGAGTGCTTTGAGATGTCCTTCCAATGTGAAAACTGCTATATAAATTCATATTGTGTTTTTGATCCATGCATAAATTGGGATAGTTTTGCTTGATATGAATTAAGCTCACATTTCACTGTTCACAATGTGTGGATTATCATGTGTTATTTTGTGACTAAATTGTTAGTTGTATAAGTTTATTCTGTGACCTGTAATGGCTCCTCCAACAATGGCCACAACAAGAGTTGCTCCCAGTCCAGCAGCTTGAAACCCAGCCTGTTGAATGGCAGTTCTCTTGGGTCTTTCTGGGAACGTGTTGCTAAGGCTGACAAGAATAATGTTAAATATTTATATTTTTGTTTAACAAGTTGACACTGAAGTCATTTTAGCAGTACATTTGATATTTAGTATAAATATTTAGGGATTCAGGAAAAGAGTTGAAAATGAGATTAATAGAGAAGGCAGTTTGGGATGGAGAATGGGATTTAGGGAGTTTTTCCTTGTGTCCTGGCCAACAATTCCCCAAATAAAAAAAAATCATTAATTTCATGGCTGTTTTTGAGACATTATTGTACACAAATGGGCTGCTATGGTTGCCTACAAATACACAGCCACTGCATTTCACAGTAAATCCTGTGAAGCACTTTGGGACATCCTCCTGATGAGATAGGAACTATACCAAATGCAAGGATTGTTATTACTGAAATATTATATAATAATATAATGATTCAGCATTGGTGTGGACCTGATGTGGATCGTCTGGTTTCACTCATCATAACCGGCTTCCCAATTGCCAAAAAATCTGTCGACTTCTGTGTCACTGCCAACGTCATTTTTTGCGCACTCTTAAGTATACACATGTGCAAGAAGTATTTGTGCAAGGTGTGCATGCACAATAAGTCACATCAAGGGCGACCTGATGACCCAGAAGTCAGCCACTTTAGTGGCACCGAATGCTGGTGTGTCTGGGCAGCCATTTTTCAGCAAATGATATTAGCTGTGCTTCTTGCATATGCACAGAGCGGAGGAAGTGGTGTCACTGTAGCCAAGCCGACTTTGTGCCCTGCTATAATCATGTGTTTGGGTTTATGGCCCTGAATCAGTGTGTTAGAATAGAGTTCTAGTATACTGACACTAAATAATGGATTGGTCTGAAATATCATTGAGCACTGTGCTTTGATGATGCACAAATCCCATTAGTGGCCAACAATGCTAATGGTGCTGTGTGCCACACTGAACAGAATTCCAGCCCAGTTGTGGCTAAATATTAGCTACCCTACCTATCCCATACCGTTATTGCCACTGGGTACAAAGTCAAGCAAATCAGAGCATTGTTTTTAGTATTTCTAATACAAGTTTCAAAATAGGTTATATTTTCTTGTAACTCACCCATTTCCATATAAGACTGTGCTGGACATTGCCGCTCCAACTATACCAGCCAGACCTCCAATTATTCCAGGCATACCATGCAGATTATGTACACCACATGTATCATGTATCTTCAATTTAGATGCTAAAATTGGCTGGGGAAAAAAAGGACACAATTACTAGTCCAATTACAGTCAGCGATGCTTTTATTTTCTTTCAGAATAAAGGAACCCTACTTTTCATACTCAGTGTTAAAGTTCAATAGTAGTGATTTTGACTTGAAAAAATATTAATGCAATTCATTGTACATAAGATGGTACAGACTGGAAAAGTCCATTGCATTTGACTGGTTACCCTTCCCCACAAAAAAAATTGTACACTATTCTATGTCTCCTCATACTTAATGGATTTCTTTGCCAAATAGCTATCCAATTCCCTTTTCCATTTCCTAACACAATCTGCCTCCATTGCACTGCAAACAGGTACATGGAAAGTTACAGCATAGAAATGGGGCATTTGGACTGTCAACTATTTGCTTCGGGGGGTTTCTCCACAATAGACAATCTATTCTCCTTATTTGTTCCATTAAATACCATTTAATTTCCCCCCCACCACCCCCCCACCTTGGCTCAGCCAAACACGGCTTCAGCACTAACTAAAAGAAGTTGGTTTCCTATATTTTTGTAACTGATGACAAAAGATGAAAACATAGCCTCACAGATGAACTTTCAAGTTGACTGCCCTGGGTTTAGCCACGCCATCAGGCTGGGCTGACTGAAAGTGTACACCAGTGATAACTATCACAAAGTACAATATTTATGCTGTTTCATAACCCATTCCTTGTGATAGCTATGTCAAGAAACACATCCTGCAAATTGACTCCAATAAATGCTATACGTTTCACAACAAATTATAAAATATATAATTTGTCACATGGATGTGACCAATGTACCAGTTTAAAATTATTAATGACAACGTGTTGATATTTAAGGTTGTGCAGAGTTTCGGAAAATTTTAAATTCAGTGTTAATTAGGGTGTCAGTCTCCTTCAGTTCTTAAGATTGAATCGAAGAATTTTTCAAAACTCTTTGCCTGGTTTTAAATAGTAAGACAATGGTCTTAGGCTGGAAGTATGAGATATTTTGAGCGTTGAGTTTCTTCTGAACATTTAATAACAACAACTTACTGTCAGGTACTTAAATCCAAGTGTGGAGATGATTCCAGCTACAAACCCAATCAGAAGGCCTCCATAGGGATAGATCATCATGTCAGCGGTGGTTCCAGCAGCTACACCCCCAGCCAAAGTTGCATTCTGTATATGGACCTACACAAAGGAGAGCAGACACATTGCATTTGATATTGCAACAACATTATAAGATAGTGACTAGGGGATCTAAAAGAGAATTGTGGAGGAACTACTTCACGCAGAGGGTAGTGAGATTGTGTTGAATCAAATAGTGTAGATGCATTCAAGAGGAAACTAGACCTTCACATGAGGCAGAGGGGAATAGAAGGGTATGGGAGGGAGTAAGGTTTGGGTGAAGACTCATGTGGGATATGAACACTGCATGGACCGGTGGGGCCGAGTGGCCTGTTTCCATCCTGTACATTCTTTGTAATCTTTGTAATAGCTTCAAATTAAAATTGCAATGGTCATTGAGACATTTCAAAACTTCATAGGATATACTGTAAAGTAGTGTGACTGTATTTTGTGGGCAGGTGTGGCAGCCAATATGTTCACAGCAATGTCCCACAAACAGACACGGAATGAGTGACCAATTTTATTTGGGGATCGAATAGTGGAATGCAATCAATTGTTTTTAAAGCAATGCAATTTCTAGAGTTCACTCATATCAAATCTAATATACTGGATTATTGACTGCCAGATTTGGGATTGGCAGGTTTTGGGTGTTTTAATCCCCATGAGTATTGTAGTGTACTAAGCAACCTCCAAGAAGATGATTATGAAGGCAATGGAACAATGTGTGCCTAATGCAAAGCAAAAGTACAAACCTTAAAGGCACTCCTGCCTGGTTGGATGGGGCTACAAAGCAACTCATCAAGAGGAAAAAAAGGCATTTAAGCCCATGAAGGAAAATGGCACAGAATTAAGTCGGATTCAATACGAGAAGGCATGCCAGGACTGTAAAAAAAGGCGTCAGAATGGCAAAGGAAAACTTTGAATTGAACATGGCAAGAAATGTGAAGGATAGCATTCAACAGTTTTTCAGTTACATTAAGAGAAAAAGAAAAGCAAATGATGGAATAGAGCCACTGAAGGCAGGTTCGGAAGAGGACATGACAAATAATGCTACAGACTGCAATAGTGCTAAATAAAGCTTCAAAATTGCTGCCTCGCCCACACCAAACTCTATACACGCTTTAGAATTTTGGAAACTATTTAAATTTAGTCTTAATTCAGCAGCCACTTTGGCGTTTTTGGATCCTACATAAAAACAGTTCCTGAATTAAAATTGCTATATGTCAAGACTGAGCCTATCAGTGGGTCTTTTGTGGGAGAAATCTGTTCCCTTCCTCCACTCTTTAAGTATTGTCACACCGCTATGCCTATGGGTAGAATGAGCTCTCTCAGTAGTTAATCCCACTTCCATTAATAGAAGAAAAGGACATAGCAATAATGACCTACTGTGAAATTAATTTGGTCAGTGAGACAAAACAACAACTTGCATTTATATAGCGCTTCTCACGCAGGGCAGACTCCTAGAGGGATTGACAGTGGCGGAGCACGATGTTGAGCGCTGAATACAAGTAAATGTAGAAATGATTCCACGCTTACCATGTCCAATTTTCCTTTCTTATCAAGCAAACTTGAGAGGGCGTAGGCAGTGAGCACACACGCTGCCAGGGAGTAGTAGGTGTTTATGACAGCTCTGTACTGACCGTCACTGGTAGGTGCAATGGCAGAGTTGAAGCTGGGCCAAAACATCCATAAGAAGATAGTTCCTGTGAAAGTCAAAACAATTTCTAGTTTATTTGGAGCCTTTGAAAAAATATAGGGCCTGATCTTTGGTTTTCGTAATACTGGGATCTAATTTGCAGCATTTCATAACAGGATTCCTCAATAAAATATCTTATTAAAATTCCTGCCCTGGAATTAGCTATGCTAGAGCCAAATCCATAGCAGGTAGGATGGTTTTAGCTGGACAAGCAGCAGAAAGCTTGCCCGATAGTGCTCCCTTAGTGACAGGCTATGTGGTTTTAACTTGTTAAATTCCAGCAGTACCCCAATGCATATTCTGGGGTCGACAATCTTTGGTAAGCAGGAAACGTCCCTCCAAGCAGAGTGCGCATTCCACTCCAAACACAGGCAACGTTCTATGTGTAGGTGTCATTCGTGTATGACACTCTCAGTCTGGTTTGGATATTCTTAAGCGTGATAATAGGTTTCTGCATGTGTCAGACTCCAAGCTGACTCCCCAAAAATTGGAATGGATCGAAGGGAGTTCTGATGGTTCAGTGCAAACTTCTTCCATTTCCAGTTCTCATTTGTGCTTCTCAGATTCCTTTTTAAGGAATCTCAATAAGAAAAACTTGAATTTTTGTGGCACCTATAACATCAAAATATCTCAAAGAATTTCACTGTAATTTCTACCGAGTGCAGTAATTCTTTTTCTATGGGCAAGAGTACTGCAATGTAAACCCAATATTCTTTGCGTACGAAACAATGAAATTACTTAAAGGCCGGACATCCTTAACTTTCCTAAAGCTTCTCCTTGGTCACTTGTCATTTTCTGAATCAATTAATTACAATTCTAGTTTTAGTGATTTTAAAACTAGAATCACTAATTCTAGTGATTTTAGTAGATGGAAAGTTTAGCCAGGCTCACATAATGGTAGTGCCATTTAATCCTTAAGATGTCCTAGTATTTTGTGAATTGGACTCTGTAATCCATGCATATTCACTTACCGATCATAGCAAATATATCAGAGTGGTACACCGATCCTTCTTTTTCATGGTCTTTCAAACCAGATCTGTAGAGAACACGTGATACAGCAAGACCAAAGTATGCCCCAAAAGCATGAATGGTCATCGATGCCCCAACATCTTTGGCCTGCAAAACATCCAAAGAAATAGCTGCTGAAACATTTGATACTTTATCAAATCGAACACATCACATCACAGAAACAATACAAATTTATATGATACAGCATCTTGCATGGGGAGATTGTCCCAAAGCACTTAACAAAACTTGCTTGGCACATTGCAGAATTTGTGAAAAAATTTTCAATGAAGGATCTGAAGGAGTTTCATTTTACTAGGCCATATGTCTCCTTTATCAACAACTTGCACTTATATAGCACCCTCCACACAGGGCAGCATCTCAGAATGGTTATTATTATAACAGTGGCAAAGCCTGATTCTGAGCCGGGGGTGGGGTGGGAGGTGGGAGGTCGAAAAGGAAGGTTATCAGGTAGGACTTGAAAAGGGAGAGAGGTGGCAAGGCAGAGGGATTGAGGGAGAGTGTTCCACAGTATTGGGCGGTAAAACGTGACTTCCACTGGTGGAGTGGAGGGTACGAGGGACGAGCAGGAGGCCGGTGCCAGTCGAGCGTGGATGCCGGGTGGTGGATTGGGGAGTGAGGAGGTCGGAGAGGTAGGGACGTGCCAGGGAGTGAATGGATTTGAACACGAGTGTGCATAAGCAGTTAACAGAGGGTGAGAACTGTCTTTGAGAAGTGGGTAACCTGGCCATACGTCCAAAGTGAAGTACTTACTTTCAAAACTTCACCAACCAGGAATTCATTTGCTGCAAATATGGTAATCTCAAGGACGGTCAAAATCAGCAGTTGAACTGGGCTGGTCTTTCCCAAAATTGCTCCAAAGTAATTAGCACTGTCGCTGTACTGAAGTCTCCATTGATCATGCTGCAACAAAGAAGACCGTTTGTTACTTTCCATTGTTGGTTGCTGATTTTAATTCAATGATTGTAATAGCCAAAGATGAGTGATTTAATCACTGTTCAGATTATTGTCATTCTCGTGCACAACATTCCTTTGAATGGAAATTAGTTCAATCCATCAGTTCAAATAAAACTTAACTTGGGATGCAGTAAAATGACACGACTGCAAATAAAGTGTGTAATTAATACAGTGTGAGGACAAAACAAATGGTGGAATCTAGACCAAGCTATAAATTTAAATCCAATCTCATTTTATAGCTGGAGTGCTAATAAATATTGCTTTCTTTACCTGCATTTTATATTCCTAACAGTACACGATCAGGTAAGAGCACAATATAGACTTGAACTCTCAATGCAAGTCCATTCTATTCTGCAGACAGCAGAAATCACTACATAATTGGCATTCATTCAGAGAAGTTACATTTATTGCAGAAATGTGCTCTGTCACCAGGCTTCAGTGAATTGACTTCTATTTCATTAATTTCTCTTTTACACGATTGAGATTCAGAACTTTACAGAGAATCACATTTGGTGATTTCATATGGTCGAATAAACAGCTAAAGCCAGAGGTCAATTCAGACTATGTCACAATAGCAACTCATATCCTGCTTAGGTCAATGGTTGTCAGCAGATAAAACAGTCTCTACACTTTACTGTAATTACTGTAAAGTAATTTGAACCATTTTGATCTGATAAAATGCTCTAAAAATAAATGCAAAATTAATGCAGGTTTTAATTGTGTCTTTGCATTATCTTAGAGTAAGATGTGCTGGTGTATGCCCATTAAGAATGAATGCAGGAGTTGGATGTAATTAATAACTGGAATAAGTGCATTATTGAACAGTATTATTTTCATTTCTGCACAAATTCAGGTAAAAGCCCATTCACTTCTAGATGCTGTTGCTTTTTTTTAATATGCATTTTAACAGAGGGAACCAAGTAGAAGGTTAAAAATGTAAATACAGAAAATATGCTTAGATGTTCCACATCCTTTGACCCAAGTAGTATACAAGTTGCTTTTGTGACTCATTCTGAAGTACAAAATACTTGGGTTGTTTATTCTACTGTGTGAAATCAGCAGGGCCAAGATGATTTAGTTCAGAATTATAAAGCGCTGTTTTAGGAGAGATGCTAGGAAATATTTATTTACTGGGAAGCATGATAGAGACCAGGAGACAGGACTCATTTAAGAAGCATGTTGATGCTGTAATGAGAAGAATGGGAAGGGTGACAACAAATGGGCCAAAAGGCATCCTTCATCTGAACCAATCTTGTGACTTTGTGAACACCACCTTAGCATAACAGAGGCAGTTAATCAATTATAAACTGGAGAGTGACCTTGTAATACCGATCTTGATTTTCCCATCATGTAAGTGATGCAGAAAGCCTTGCATCAGGGCGCCCCACTGAAGACCAAAGGCAGCAATGAGTAAATTGAACCCAACACTGCTGAATCCATATCGCTTCAAGAAAGTCATCAGAAATCCAAATCCAACGAAGATCATGACATGCACATCCTGAAAACCTGAAGAACAAATAAATACATCTTATTATTATCATTTGAAAAATCAGCCTGCCTCAGTGGTAGCCTCTCACCTCTGAACAGAAGGGACTTCAAATCATGTAATCTAAGCTGATACTCCAATGCAGTGCTGGAGTTGTTGCATTGTCAGAGGATACATTAAACTGATATCCCATCTGCCTTTTCAGGTGGACTTTAAGGAACTCAAGGCACTATTTGAAAAGAGAAGGGAGTTTCTTCTGAAGTTCTGGCCGACAAATAAAAATCAGTCATTCACTCTATGCGTGTTTGTGGACATTGCTGTGCGTAAACCGGTTGCCATGTTTCGCCCACAAAACAAACAGTCAAAACCACTTTACAGTATATCCTGCAAAGCACTTTGAGACAATGTGATAAGGTGCTATATCAAATGCAAGGATTATGCGGAGTCCAGTAGCTAAGTGGTTAGAGCACTCGTCTCGCAAGCGAGAAGACCTGGGTTTGATTCTTGGGCAAGATAAAACGTTAGACAAGTTTGCTTACTCCACATGCCTCGTGTTTACCTAGCAGTAAGTAGGAATCTGGTTGTTAGTCGATCGGTGGATGCTTTTACGGGGGTAATAATCTCTTAAAAAAATAATTTGGTTACTCAATCCAGAGCACTACTGATGGTAACTGGCCAGCCAAGCTCGCCGCCAGGACTTTGAGAAACAGATGCTGGGGGCAGGGATTCTTCTCACTCTGTTCCTGTTAACCCCAAGCCAAAACACAAATCTGTAGGATGGTCCTAGGTGGACAAGTAGCTGGAATCTGCGGACAGTGCTCTTAGTGACAAGCTTCAGCAGTTTCCTAATGCACACTCTGGGAACCCCATGCCTCATCAATCGACACCAAATGTTCTCTGGAATGAAGTAAGCACATCTGACTGAAATATAAACAGCAATTTCTACAGCAGTCAGAGCAACAGAGAATTTAAAGGCGTGGGCATGACTGTAACACACTAGCCAGTCCATGAGAGGGTGCTGCAACATAAATGTGGCCAATTTAGTCTCATCTTTTATGAGGCAATTTACAACTAATAGTAATTATAATCCTTGCATTTGATATAGCGCCTTATCACGTCGTTGAGACGACTCAAAGTGCTTCAAACTACAGTATGTTCGTTGTTCTTCTGACTACTTTCAAACTAAATTATTTCTCTGAATCTCTACTTTGAATAAAATCTAGTGATGAATAGCCTACAGATAGTTCTAAATTTACATTAAATGTATGGTTGTTTATAGAAGGATATCATTCTCACCTCTCATGTCAAGAAATCTATTTTTGAATCTAAATGCAACTTCAACTATGAGCAGAATAAAATGCCTTTTATGCCTTCATTATTTGGTTTATCATGTTTGCATTGAATTGATGCAAATTCTTTTGTCTAACTGAAAGTTATAACAGCATAACATTCTGATCAACCTTCAGACTGCCTCAGAAAGATAGGCTCACATTAAATGTTGCTACTATATATAACTACAGACTGACTGCAATGGACTGTAGGAATGGATATCCACACCTTGCTTAAGAGTCTCCAAACTTACGCTTGCATTTCTATAACGCCCTTCATATAGGTAGCATCTCAGAGTCTTTAAACCAAATCACAAAGAGTTCCATACATGTGCAATTTCTGTTTGTCTGCTATCCATTGCACACTCTGGGCACACGAATGACTGAGGTAAAGGGAATTATTGTCTTTCAGTTTCATGAGCCTTCATCCCCTCTCTGCCGTTCTCTTTCCCTTAATGCATTGGGCGTCAGTCTGGCTCGGTTGGTGGCATGCATGCATCTGAGTCGGAAGTTGTGAATTGATCCCCACGTCAGGACTTTAAACATTCCAATACAGTGCTGGGAGAGCTCTGCATTACTGGAGGTGCCGTCCTTCAGATGAGATGTTAAACAGCCTGTCTGCCTGCCTGTTCAGGTGGACATTAAAGAGCCCATAGTCTGACTTAAAAAGAGAAGGGAGGTCCTCCCAGTGTGTTGGCCAACAATCCTCAGATAAAATTGGTCATTCACTTCATCACTATTTGGGTGACATTGCTGTGCACAAATTGGCCCCCTACAAAATACAATCAGTACACTTCACAGTACATGCTGTAAAGTGCTTTGAGACATTATCCCAATGTGAAAGGCACTGTATCAAATGCAAGGTTTTGTATTATCATATTAGGGGGTGTAAGGGGAGTGGAAGGCAAGTTGGCCAAATTGAAGAAAGCAGGAGACAGGCAGTAAAAGTCATTGAGGAAGGAAGGCATCAACAACAGCAACAACAACTTGCATTGATATAGTGCCTTTCACGCAGCATAGCGTCGCAGACCGCTTAAAATGACCATGGAGCGATAACCCTGACCCAGCTCTCTGACTCTGCCCTCAACCCTGCTCTGTCTTCCTTCTTAAGGCCCTTCCTTATTCATTGGAAAAGGTTGCAACACTCACATATGCAAAGATCCACTTCAATGCCCTTGAGCCCAGCAGTAGAGTGAAGTGCTGTTGACAGTATAACTCCAGTCTGCCAGCTCACTGACTCTGTTAAAGTCACTGCAGCAAATTGTGCTTTCAGTAGAAGTGCCTTATCCAATTAACTGAGATATACCAAGAATTCCACCCTGACTGCTATCACAAATTCCCTTCAGGTGAATTAACATTTTTCTATAGTTGGGAAAAACATAAGCTTGTAAAATCTAGTGTTTGAGTCACATATTCAAGTGGAATGTTACGATGCACAAGCCTGGAGGTGTAAGTCATCTGCCAAACTGATAGAACTGTCACGAGCTGGCCAGCATCAAGATCAAACAATTATGCTGATGCAATCCGGGAATAACCGGCAATATGAATGCTTGTAATACAGAAGCATCTTAAAGGGTATCAATTGTACAGCGTGTCCAGAAAGTCCTGTTACCCCATTTTGTTGCTCTACAGTGCACTGACCAACACCTGAAACATGTGGAAGAATGACGATAATTGTCTTTAGAAGTACTTAATTGTATTCAGTCTAGAGGATCAGTATGAGTGCCATCATTTTCATGGCAGATAATGATCTGTCGCCATGTTCGGTGCAACATCTTCTGTAACATTGATGGAGTAATAAGGCCAAATGAATCTCTGACAGCTTGTTTCAGCTCCTCCGTAGTCTCACATTGTTGTTTTGTAACAGGGGGTAAGAGAACTTTTTGGACACTGTACAATTCATTGGGGTGGCTGTCTGTTTGTGGGCAATGACATTAATATTGAGAAAACATCTACCAATAGCAGATCATCACGGACCACCCTGTGAGCATCTACTCTCCACATTTCAAAGGATAACAAAACTGGAGGGTATTTCAAGGGCATGACAATGTGAAGGCCTTAGATAATCTTCATAAAGTACACTCAAAGCTTCAAATCTTTCAGTCTCTATTGTTACTGAGTCTCTTGATGTGTTGCTTCCTCTAAGCTCATGTGTGAGAACATATTTTGAAGAAAAGTGTACTGTACTCAGCATTTCTGAATATTCTGAATATGCCTGTTCCTCACTATAATATCCCAACATGTTATTTGTTACAGTACATTTGAGTTGGTGACTGCTTTTATTGCCTTTTATTCATTGTATCAAGTCTACAAGATACAAAAGGGTACGTTCCCAAAGATATAACCATGGATTGCAACAATAATTTATATTTATATTGCACTTTACATATCAGGAGAACATTTCAAAGTGCTTCACACAGCTGACTGGGCATGGGGTTGGGTAGTGGGGGTGGGGTGAGGAGAATGAGGACAGGTGACTGAAAGCTCAGTTGAAAATATAAGACATAGTATTCAGTTACTAAGGACTATTGGTGATTCTACCCCTGGGCTAATACCCTAAACCACATTTTGGATCCAAATAACTTTAACGCAAATAATTTAGGTCTAACAGAGTGTGTGTCACACATTATATGATGTGTGGTCAGAATATTGTTGGTTTAATTGTGTTAACTTGATTTGGATCCTTCCATTTCAGTCTGAGTCACAAAACATCATAACACAGCAGTCTTTTAAGCGTTCCTCTCTCATGTCAAATACTGAAACCCTGTGCAATTTTTAAAATCATTCCCAGAACTGTTTTTTGAAGATTAATGTTATTATAATTTAAAAGATATCAAAACACATACATCTGTGAATATCTACATAGATGTATAAGATACCTCACTCATCCTGCTGGATCATGCAATAATTCGCCCTAGAATTAACAGTAAATTTGGCAACTGAATCAAGTGTGTAGCACTCAGTAACAATTACAAAAGCCCAGTGTAAATGAAGACTGAATTAACCAGATACACGTTATTCTTATTTGTGCTTGTACTGTATTATGCATGTATTTTTGTTAAATGGATATATAAATATTTATATAAATATATTTATACTTGAGACATCTAGAAGATGTGAAAAGGGCTAATTCAAATGCAAGGATTATTATTATTATTATTATAAACTGGACTTTTTGTAGCTTGCAGAAAAACTTAGATGAAGTTGAAAGAAAAGCTAAAGCAATTAAACCTGTACGTGTATAGCAACAAGTAATAAAACACAAATACCAAAACCTTATTGCACAATCCTATTATTATCTATTCTCCCTATTGCAATTCGGTATAAACACATTTGATATAAGAGCAGAACGGACAGTTTTCTGCAGTTGTAAAGAACCAGATCAGTTACTTTCAAATGATGTTAGTGGTGCACATTGCTGTCACTAAATATCAAACGGAAATGTTTCCAATCTTCCTATATTCTATAAACTTTGCTTGTCTAACAAATATACGCTGTATGTGGCATGCGATTTCATGGAAAATGTAAAATACAAGCCGTATCCTAGTTGTCAGACTCCGCAACTTGACGCACTCCGGGATGTTGTTGTAATGCAGATTAATAACAAAATTATCCATGCATCACACAGAGGCTGTTTGTGTTAACAATTCCCAAATAAATGTCATTTTATCTTTCTTTTTCACATATGCATTGATCTAGTGTGAAAATATTTTCTTAAAGGGCAAAGTTTTAATAACAAAACAAGTATACTATCTGCCTATATACCAATTACATACCATATATTTTTCTCCTCTATATCTCACATTTCATTTAAGCATAAGTAATACCCAATTTATAACAAAACAAAAACATTTTTGAAATGCAAATAATGCTGCATTTTTTAAACACATCTTATGCCGTACCACTAAATTACTTATATTGACTTTAACTTTGCTTTCTATATTTCCACTTCAAATAGATACTCACTTGGATATAACCTGTCGAAATCTGTAGTTGTTCCATTAGGTTTTCTGGAATCTGCTGCTGTTTCATATGTAACAAACAATGCGTATTGTACAATAATCACAACTTCCAGGGCTATTGCCAGCAAAGAAAATTTCAGCCTCATGTTGGTGGAATAGGATGCAGGCATCTCTCAGCTTATGTTGGTCGAAGCAAAAGTTTCTGGAGTCGTATTGCTTAAATTTGAAAGTGCTGTTCTCAGTTACTGAGCCAATGGCACTGCGGAAACAAAACTGGCCTGAAGTTCACACCCACCACACAAGGGTGGGATCAATTTAATAACTGATCCAAAAGGCTGCAGCCCGATAATGACTCTCCCTTTATGTTAAGTCGGCACATCCCAGAATGAATCTGTCCAGGCCTGGAATTCCTCAATAAAGCTGCAAACCCATGTCCACTGCTCTGTGTAGCTAAATCAATATGCAGTCAACAACAACAACAACAACAAAATTACATTTACAGAGCGCCTTTCACGTCGGGAGGACATCCCAAAGCGCTGAACAGTCAGGTGTCGGGGCCTGAGCCTGGAGGAGGGGGGATGGTGTAGGGGTGAGGGAAGGCAGAGAGGTGGGAGGGAGACCAAAGGCACGGTCGAAGAGAAGGGTCTTGAGACCGGCTTTGAAGGAGGCAAGGGAGGAAGCGAGGCGAAGGGACCGTGGGATGGAGTTCCAGAGTGTGGGGGCAGAGAGGCTGAAAGCCCGGCCACTGATGGTAGGGTGAGTCAGGTGGGCGACATGGAGCAGGCTGGATCCCGCTGAATGGAGGGAGCGGGCAGGTTGGTGGGAAGTCAGCAGGTCAGAGAGGTAGGAGGGGCAAGGTCATGGATGGCCTTAAAGGTGAGGACGAGGATCTTGAACTCGATCCTCTGGGGGATGGGGAGCCAGTGGAGTCGGGCGAGAGTGGGAATGATGGGGTCGCGGAGCCTGGTGGGTGAGAGTACACGAGCTGCAGAGTTGTGGATGATCTGCAGCTTGTGAAGGGAAGAGTTGGGAAGGCCGATGAGGAGGGAGTTCCCGTAATCAAATCTTGAGGTGACGATACCCAGGTTCCTGACTGGCTTAGTGAGGTCACTTCTAATGTAGGATTTATATAAATTTATCCTAAAGTTTTTGATCAACTGTAATTTACAAACGTTCTGCTTGGCATTCATCACATCCAGGCTCAACTATGCTAACCCCATGCTTGTCAGACTTTCTATTTCTTCCTTCCACAAGCTGCAGATCATCCAGAACTCTGTAGCTCGTGTCCTCTTCTGCACCAGGCTCTGTGACCCTATCACCCCCATCCTTGCCCGGCTCCACTGCATTTTCCCCAGTGACCACTGCATTTTCCCCCCAAAAAAAACTACAGGGGTGAAAAATGCAATATTTTACAATACTGTAGCTTCAAAGTAAAAGTAGATTTCGAAGTGTACAGAGCCCTAAGTGTTCTCTTACAAAATACACAGTCATTACGCTTTAGAGCAAGATCCTGTGAAGCACTTGAAGATGTCTTCCCAATGTAAAAGATCCTATTTTAAATGCAAGGATTATTATTACAAGTACAGTTGCTCATAACAAACAAGCTGTTTGTAAGACTGATTAACTGGGGAGGGTTAAGGCAACTTTATTGCTAATGAGTGCTGGTGAAAACAAACAATGGAGTGGAGGAGGTGAAAGTTGGGTTTGGGATTGGGTTGTTAGGTAAGAAGGGTTTGTGAGTTTATGGGGTTAGATGGGCTTCCTTCTGCTGGTTAAAATGAAGCCTATTTTGTGCGTGACAGGAAAAACAATTCTGCATAGTGTCAATTAACGTGAAATGCACTTTTTCCCGTCCTGTTCCAATAGATAACAGTCTGTAAGTTTCTGGAGCAGGATGTTTCTAATTTTTTTCACAGAAATTGCCTGCATTTATGGGAATTAGCAGGCAGCAACACAATCTTATAGCTTTCATAAAGATTGCTTGATAATACCTTCATTACTGGTTCAAGACCCATAAGGAAAAGGGTGGAGATTTAATCAACGTGGTTTACTTAGTGAAAATTGGATTAAGAAAAAAACTTTAAAGGAGAATAAAAAAACTTTGGTAAATTGATTAATAAGAAAACTAGTCCTGAATATTAAATAACAACTAATATGTATTTCTTTTACAAAACCAACTACTCACTGTTAAAAATAAAGCTAAGTTTCAATAAAAGGAAATGAAAGAATGATCTTGGGAACCATTAAGAATCATTTCATTTTGAGAAAGGGATAAGCAGAGTAGCCCATTATAAGTAAATAAAGTTCATGCCCCTTTCTTGGAACAAAGTACTCTAAACAGCATGAAAAAACGAGTTTTGAATTGTGACTTTAAATGGATTAAAAAATACTGCTATTGTACGTAAATGTGATTTCATTTCCGTTACACAGCAAATGTTATATCAAAAAGCAGATTTGAAAAACAAAGCTCAGATTTTCACAGAAAACATTGGTTATTTCTTCAAAAAGCAAACCGGGATGATATGAATGGCTGAAAGGCTTACGGATTTGTTTGACAGCTCCAAAGGATCGTCATGATTTATAATAAAAANTATTAATCCTTGCGTTTGATATAGCACCTTATCAAGTCTTCAAAATGTCTCAAAGCGCTTCACAGAATATAATGTAAAGTGAATTGACTGGATGTTTTGTGGGCGTTATGTAAGCCAATTGCGCACAGCAGTGTCGTACAAACATTGTCGTGGATTAAATGACCAAATTATTATTACCATTTATTTATATATTTTTGAAGGAATGATTACCCCTGGACAAGCGTTCCGCCAATCGACTAACAACCGGGTTTCTGCTTACTGCTCGGTGAATAGAGGCGTGTGGAGTAAGAAAACTTGCCTAACATTTCTCCCTGCCCGGGAATCCAACCCGGGTCCTCTCGCTTGTGAGGCGAGTGCTCTAACCACTGAGATACAGGATTCCTACAGGATTTATTGGAAGTTGAGAGGCTATGGGGGGGGGGGGGGGGGGAGGCCTCTTGCCTACACTGACTTATCTTTTGAGCATCCCCCGGAGATGGAGTTGGCTTCGCAGAAAGCACAACTATTTGCTAAAGCTCCTCACATGAGGACCCGGATTAATGAAGTGACGCTGAGTAAACCTGGCACACGGCTTTGGACATGGACCTCAAGAACATCAATGGCGGTTGGAGCATCACAAGCTGCCCTGTATAGGTCCTCCTACAGCTCTGAATACAGATGTCCACCTGATAGAGTCGGGGAGCGGCGGCAGGACAGCGCGGGGAGGAGCCCGGGCCTACTGACCCAGGTACTCAAACTCGACGCCGGAGCGAGTTCACCCCCGAGGGGGGGGGGGGGGGGAGGGGGCGGGGCCGTGTGGGGGCGGAGCGGGGGAACTGCGACGTCATAGATTAGTTTTCAGGTGCGTGCGCGCGCAAAAAAAACCCCTCTTGCTTCATGTGCTCCATCCTACCAGTCCTACCATTGGGACTCCATCCCAGAGTCCCTCTGTCTCTCTCACTCCATCACTTCTTTCATAGTCTGTCTCAAAACCTACGTCTTTGGACTGTGTCTTTGCTTATCTTTCACCTCTCCACCCATTTCAGCTCCCAATCCCAGTAGCCAGAACTGAATGCCTTAGTGCATGAAAGGCGTTATATAAATGTAAATTTGTATTCTATCTGGCTCGGGCAATTTACTAGGCTTAAGTCTGACGAGTTTATGAAGTATAATCAAACCACAATATAATGCAGGGCTTTGAGCCATAAATCAGATCCCATAGAAAGCCAGCAACTACTCTCACAAACATTCCAGCAATTCCAGATACTGGATTCAGTAGGAGGTCTTCTGTTACTGTGTGTAATGTGCAGGAATCTTGCCAATCATCACTACAAGTGTACTGGACACTATACATGGGCATATCATATGGGGTTGTACCTGATATTTCAGATCATGCAGAATTTGGGAAATTATAATTATAATCTTTGCATTTGATATAGTGATATAGCGCCTTAGCATGTCATTGAGACGCTTCAAAGCGCTTCACAGAATATATTGTAAAATGAATTGACTGTATGTTTTGTGGGCAAATGTGGCAGCCAATTGCACACAGCAGTGTCCCCCTTAGTTGTCTTAATTTTGGAGTTGGTTTCTGGAAAGTTCTTAAAAGAATATATAGAAAAACGGTTCAAAGATAAGACCACATTTAAAAATTTGTCAAATTTTGAAATACATTGCCAAGAAAATGGAATTTTCCGACACAGGACTTATGGAACTTCTTTTGGATGCTGAATGCAACACGGAAAGTCATATTCTCTCTGGGGAATACGTTTCTGGAAATATTTGTTTCATGTTTCAGATGCAATCTGCTTCTGTGGCTCTGATTCTAATCATTAATTTTTAATTGTTGCTTTTCAAACACAAAACTTTCTACCTTGTCTGTTCTTCTCAATCTGTTTACCCCCCAGTGGCAGACAGCAGCAGGAATCAGCAGGAGTTTTAAGAGTGCAGTATAATTTGAACATTCCTCTACTTTTCATAAACTTAGCTTGAACTCTCGCTATCTTTATCATATCAATTGATAGCATCTGGATGTAACTATTTAGACAGGGGCTAAACTATTTAGACTGAGGTCAGAAACTGATGTAATTTCCACTCTCAAACATTATTTATACTAGTGGATACCCCACCAACCTTAACAATATACAGTAGAGACTATTCCAGACTTATTATATAGCAAATTATAATTATAATAAAAATCCTTGCATTTGATCTTAAACGACCACCTGAGGCAAGTAGGACCTTGTTTTAACATCCAGTGCAAAGGATGGCATCTCCAATAACGTAATGCTTTCTCAGAACTGCATGGAATGCTAACTTAGACTGTGACCTCAAAGTCCTGATGTGGAATTTGAACCCACAACCTACTGGCTCTGAGGCGAGAGTGCTGCTAACTGAACCAGTCTGACACCTAGACTGAGTGCTAACCACTACACAACGGGACTCCATATAGTGAATGTAGACAAATAGTGAACCTATTTATTTTGCAGAGTAGTTGCATTTATAGGAATGTTTTAAACTGCTTGAATACAATTTGTGTGTCAGCCTGGCTTAATTAGTATCACTCTTGCTCTGAATCAGAAGGTTTTGGATTAATTGCCCCATATCGTGACTTGGAACTCATATAGTCTAAGCTGACACTTCAATGCAGTGCTGTGGGTGTGCTGCATTGTCGGAGGTGCTGTCCTTCAGATGAGACATTAAACCAATGCCCCACCTACCTGTTGAGGTGGACATTAAGGATAC